ATAATAATCTCGGAAATTAATCGTTCCTTTCTTTGGTTTTTATTGTTGAAAATCACGAGAGTAAGACTCTCGTCAACTCCTTACTCAACGTCACGGAAAGACGGAACTTGAAGTCATCGTGGGAAGCGCTTTCTGACATATATAGTTGGAAGAGATTCCCGATTATTCAAGAGTGCCAGGAAGACGAATTCTTTAACTGCGAGGAGTCACCTGTCAAAACATTGGGTTCGGACATATTGGATCGGTGGCGTTTACGTCGATTCGTGCGCAGCGCTCGTGTGGCGCCGCGTAGAACTAATTACCGACCGCAGAGTGACATTACCGACGAGTGATAATTAACCAACAAACTTTAAATTAATAATTCCTCTGGGACTCACCAGGAAAAAACAAAGCGCACGTGCAGCGACGCGTTCGTTGCAGACAAGTCAGCCATTTTTATTCGCATTCTCGTTCTGGCTGTCAAACAGTGTGCGTCAAGATTGTGATAAAATTAAATAAAATTAAATAAAAGACGTCGTCTTGACGGTGAGTCCCTGTCATATTAAAATGAGCTGTTCCTCCAATCAGTCTTAAGTTTGTAAATTATAAATATTAATAATATAAATAATTTAATATTAAAATTCGAGCCTTGTTTAGGTGACTTGCCGCTGACTAATGTTCAAAATTGTGATAAATTAATAAAAATAATCAATAGTAATTTTGTCGAATCAGTGTTCATCCTTACTCCTCCCCTCTCCGCGGTTATGAGTAATTTAACTAACGATAAATGAGCAGTTGGCAAAATATGTTAATCTCTTGGTTTGGTCATTCCGTGTCAAAATGGCCTGGCGCCATGGGCAATTCCATACTCAATGAATAATCAAAATAGATAACAGGTTTTATATTAACCAAATTTAATCTCTTTGTTTCTAAATTAAAAAGTAGGGAAAATAATAATTCCAAATTAAAAATTAAATATAATAATCTTCGTCTTCTTTCATTCATTTATTCTGTCCAGAGCGTGTACATTCTGTCCATAGTGAGAGAGAAAGAGAGGGAAGCATCGCCTGTTTGATAGCGGAAGGAAAAGTGGGGAATTTTACTTTCAAGCCAAAATACGAAATGGGCGTCTTATTTCCTTATTGGATAAATATGATCCGTTTTATTCATAAAAGTATAGGTTGAAATTGCGCAAAGAATTTTCTTATTTTAGACGTTAATGGGTTAATCATTAAAATAAAATTGTAATATTAGGGGAGAGTGGGGCAAACCGGCTAGATGTCAATATCACCGAAATAACTAAATTGTCAAAAGTGTTGTTAAGAATGGGGTTCACTATACGTAATGCTAATCTCAGATGGCAGCATCATAGCAAGATTTTTCTAGCGCTTAATTTTTGATTTCGCGAAAAGTCATATTTGTTTTACAAACAAATAAACGAAGTACATAAATACTTTTTGTGGAATTGTGATAAGTTAAAAATTGAATAACTTGAGCGAGGAATTTGTGTCACAGGAAAAAAGACGGTTTTGCAAGTCACAGTATCGTAAAAGTATAGATAAAAAAATTTAGGTTATGTTGCCTGTCATTAAAAATATTATATAATATTGAAAAAATGGTCGGGAATTATTTTCCTTATTCAATTAAAAAAGGAAAACAATTTCCGACCATTTAGATAAAAGTGACAGTGTTTTAATCATGTGTCCACAAGTATTCAAAGCACTCGAACTTTTATGCGAATGGTCATGTTTCTCTAAAAAGACGAAGTTCTGAAAAGGAATCCCTCTAATAATTAAAACTAATTTACTCTTTGCAGGCGGATCTGAAGCAGGAACCGAAAATTGAAACTCGAGGAGCAGTGAAACGGAAGTTTTTCTCAGCAGGGAAAAAGGTAATTGTAATTACAAATAGCTCCGACCATTTAGATGAAAGTGACAGTGTTTGAATCATGTGTTCACAAGTATTCAAAGCACTCAAACTTTTAAGCAAATGGTCGGGAATTACTTTCCTTTTTCAATTGAAAAAGGAAAACAATTTCCGAGCATTTAGATAAAAGTGACAGTGTTTTAATCATGTGTCCACAAGTATTCAAAGCACTCGAACTTTTATGCGAATGGTCATGTTTCTCTAAAAAGACGAAGTTCTGAAAAGGAATCCCTCTAATAATTAAAACTAATTTTCTCTTTGCAGGCGGATCTGAAGCAGGAACCGAAAATTGAAACTCGAGGAGCAGTGAAACGAAAGTTTTTCTCAGCAGGGAAAAAGGTAATTGTAATTATAAATAGCTCCGACCATTTAGATGAAAGTGACAGTGTTTGAATCATGTGTTCACAAGTATTCAAAGCACTCAAACTTTTATGCAAATGGTCGGGAATTACTTTCCTTTTTCAATTGAAAAAGGAAAACAATTTCCGACCATTTAGATAAAAGTGACAGTGTTTTAATCATGTGTCCACAAGTATTCAAAGCACTCGAACTTTTATGCGAATGGTCATGTTTCTCTAAAAAGACGAAGTTCTGAAAAGGAATCCCTCTAATAATTAAAACTAATTTACTCTTTGCAGGCGGATCTGAAGCAGGAACCCAAAATCGAAACTATAGCTCGAAGTGCAGTGAAACAAAATCATTTGTCAGCAGGAAAAAAGGTAATTGTAATTATAAATAGCTCCGACCGTTTATATAAAAGTGACAGTGTTTGAATCATGTGTTCACAAGTATTCAAAGCACTCGAACTTAAAAAAGTTTTTCGCAATATAAAACCTGTTACAGTACATAAGACCTGAACTTGAATGTCTTGGACTTGTGATAACCTCCGATGGAGTAAAGCCGAACACTAATAAAATTCAAGCAGAACGTGAATTTAAGACACCAAGGACTGTTACGAAAGTTAAAAGTTTTCTTGGACTATCTGGATATTATAGAAAACTTATTCATAACTATAGCACTATTGCTAAACCCTTAACCGAATTAACAAAAAAAGGAATCAAATTTGAATGGAATATCAATTGTGATAACGCTTTTGAAGAATTAAAGAATTTATTATGTACAGCTCCTGTCCTAAGATATCCAGATTTTTCAAAAGAATTCACACTTACCACGGACGCTTCTAATGTAGGACTCGGAGCCATACTATCACAAGATGGTCATCCTTGTTGTTATATCTCGCGAACTCTTAATGGACGAGAATTGAATTACACCACTTCAGAGAAAGAACTTCTTGCCATAGTATGGACAGTAAAAAGGCTTAGGCAATATTTACTGGGAAAGAAATTCAAAATCCTTACCGACCATCAAGCATCAAAATGGTTATTTAATGTTAAAGATCCTTCATCTAAACTCATGAGGTGGAGATTAAGGTTGGAGGAATTTGAAAATGAAATCGAGTATAAAAAGGGTTCGGAAAATCAAGCTACAGATGCACTATCTCGCGTTTTCCCTATTGAAGATCTGTCATCGAGTGATTTAGAAAAGCAGATTGCCGACCTAGAAGTGATTTATGAACATGGACTAATATAAAAAATAACATCATCAAGTACGTGAAAGCCAGTGAAGTTTGCCAAACGCAAAAATTGACCCGTGTTTAAAGGAAGGTCGAAGGAGTTATACCTGTCACTCTAACGAAAATTTGTCATTTATCGAACTTCCAAGTAAAGGAACTTGTTTGTATACCTTTATACGCCGAAAATCAATATATTTTAGTTCCAGAAGTTCCAATAGAAATTAGTAGTATTTGCGAAGCTGTGCCAGAAACAATTAAAATCAGTTCTGCCACTCATATAGCAGGTAGCAATTGTATGTTACAGACACGCAAATCAGTTTTAAAATTAGCAGGATCATTGTCTATAAAAAATTAATTTTATAAGAAAAATATATCGTCACCCATGAATGTTACCGAATTAGAAATGTTAAACAACAAATTACCATTTATTCAAGAATCACTAACACATGATAAAATGAAAGAACTTAGGACAACTTTGGACAACATAGAATCATCGATTCAGAAAGTAAAAAACGATAGGCGTAAACATTCGTGGATAGAAACCGGCAGCGATATATTGCAATATGTATGATATACATCAATAGGCATTGTACTTATTTATAGTAGCTATCGTCTAGGTATCTTCAAATGTCTATCTTCATTTTTTCCTAGAAATTTATGTATTAATTTATTATGCGTAAGAACCAATGTAAATTCAGTACCACAAACCTATGTTACACCAACTGCTCCTATGTAAATCGAATACATCGCTATTCCAGATGCAAAAACAATAAAATCAAGAAATCTCAAATTGATCCTCCAATTCGATTGTTATTGAATTCTTCAAATTCAGCCAACGAATGGACTTGCACGACGACTTTCAGCGCCTTTTTCTATCGGACAAGGAGGAGGAGGAGGAAAACGTGTTCCCCTCCAATGTATTTCAAACATATCTAGGGAAGAATTACGCAAGAGATTATATGAACGCGTGGCAGGAATTGACAAGTACTGGCCAGAATCAACCGGATTTGGAAAAGGAGGGGATGGATGCGTGCGGGGGTGGGAGAAGAAGCCAAACCCGTTGTATGTGGAGACAAAAAGAAGAAACGCAACAAAGGAGGACATCAGTTCCTCGTCAGAGTTGTGTAGACAAAGACTTCTGGATAGAAGCCAGATCGTATTTCATTAACAAATTCAGAACATGACGGAGTGTTAAAGAATGAAGTTTTTGAGGCGTTTTCTGAGGTTATAAATATTACGATGTATTAGGAATGATACGATGACAGATTGAACAATGTCGAATGTTGTAGAGTGATAATGAGTTTATTAATCGAATTCGAATCCAGAAGATTCAAAAAAGTTCATATTGACGAGAGAACGCCTAAGTTAAAGTATCGATTGAATACGAGCGCTATTATTAAGCACATTTTTATTAATTAATTTAATAATTTCAAACAGTCAATTTTGTTTAAAATATTTATCATAAGGTTTATGTCTTTTCCATTATCATTTAATGAAATTGCTTTCACAGTCTAGCTCTTGAAAAGTTTTGGCCTTTCATTCCACTTTCACCAAATTGAATTCAGTAAAATATCAGGAATAAAGTTTCTCCGTGTAGCTTCTCACGTTTGCAAACCTGTGTAGTAAATTGCAAATTTACATTTTTAATTTAGTTAAAAAATGTTCTATTTAATAAAACTTCTGTTAAGAGTGGAATATTCTATACTATGCTCTATCAGTGGGTTTGGAAGACACTGCAATCTTTGTTCAAGTTAAATTACTATTTTAAAATATTTATGGGACGCAAAATTTCATTGTTGCTCGAATTTTCGACAGAGCGTCTAAATCTTTCACACACTATAAATTACATTCTATCGTATCAAACAATAAAATTGTACAAAAATTACTTACTACGTACTGCCAAATCTTCAGATTTTGGCACTTTCTCAATATTTACATCTACTAAGTTTAAAATAATAAAAAAATTAAATTTATTTTTTTATACAAATTATTCAACAAAATTACTAGTTTCTATTCTGATTGAAGTGAAAAACTAAAGAAAAACGGATCCTTTAAATTTTGATACGATCCTTATTTTAGTTCGATAAATAAAAATAACTAGATTTAAATGTATTTGAATTCATTTGGATTCATATTTTTTTGCATTCAAAATGAATTATGGAAGATTTAAAACTTTCGGATAATAAGGAATTTAGAATTATATGCTTTCATTTTGCAGTTACTAATAGTTTTAAACAGTTACTAATTTTCCATACACGTACCCCTTGAATAGTGCAGGGCATTAAATATTGATTTAAATCTATTTATTTCTCGCGTTATTTTTATTTATGGATGTCGAACAAAAACTAAAAGTGCATAAAACAGGGCTCGAACTAGTGAAAGTATTTCAAAATACGGACTTTACAGAACAAAAATTAAAAATTACGGACCGAGTGATAAAATTATAATTTCATATTATAAGAAAATTTTTACTGTAACTTCTCCAAAATTATTTTCATCACTTCAATTCAATTATTATTTCATACAATTTTCAACTAAAATTCTCCTATAAATCCAATATTTTTAATAATTTTTGAAAAAGTTCTTTGAGAATTTTCAAATTCATTTGTCTACAATTCAATTTTACAAAATTTCAATTATTCCGAAATTCTTAAATTAAATATTTATATATTAGAAAATAAAAACTAAATAATTTAAAAAAAATTTCCAAGTAAACTTTTTGAAAAATAAATTCTACAGAATTGTTAGTTAAAAATATTAAGAATTCAGTTTCTCAAAGATTTTAATTTGAAACCCTTTTAAAATTCAATTATTTCTAAAAATTCGCGCTGTATTACTTTTAATCTACAATTATAATTTTTAAAATTTCAACTAAACTTCATTTTTAAATCAATTTTTATTAGAAAATTCTATTAGAATTCAATTATTTAAGTACAATAAAAAATTGATTGAATTCTCATAAAGAATTTTACCAACAAAATTTTTAAATAATTGAATTCTTTCGACGAATTATAATAAAATTTTTAAGAATAATTACACTTTTTAAGGAATTTGATTAAAATTGCATTACAAAAGAAATTGAAATTCTGCTATGAGTTTTATTATTTATGAAAATAATTGAATTCCTAAAAAGAATTTTATTATTTATTAAAATAATTGATTTATTGCAAAGAAATTTATAAAAAATTTGTAAATAATTTAATTTCTGTGAAATTTTTATTATTTTATGAAAATAAATAAATGTTTGCGTAGAATTTTATTAAATTTTTTTAAATAATTGAATTTTCTTGGAAAATTTTTGAAAATAATTGAAATTTTACCAAGAATTTTAGTAAAATTTTTTAAGACTGGAAGATCGCAGATTAAAAATAATAATTAAATAAGTAATAATTTTAAAAAATTCAATTAAACTTTTTGAAAAATATTAATTGTACAAAATTGATAGTTAAAAAAAATTCAAATTTTCAAAACTTAATTTAAAATCTTTTCAAAATTCAATTATTTCTAAAAATTCATGCTTTAATTTAATGCATTTAATATTCAATTATTATCTCAAATTTTAACTAAAATTAATTTTTTAATCAATTTTTATTAGAATTCAATTATTCAAATACAAAAATAAATAATTTATTGAATAATTAAATGTTTTTTTTAAATTCAATTCTCATAAAAAATGTTATCAACAAATTTTTAAATAATTGAATTCTTTTCGTCCGTTTTCAATCAAATTTATTTTACGGACCTTTTTTCAAAGAAATTGACTCTTTCGGACTTGAAGCAAGTTTACTGACAATGAGCTTTACGGGATTTACAGACCTAGTTCGAGCCCTGATGAAAGAAATATTTGATCTGGAAGTCGTAGGAGCCTTGAAGCTTCTAATATAATGAATTCCGATTCATATTTAGTAATATTTGAAATATCACTCTTCATTTTAATAAATTGGCAAAAATGTAAACTGGTGTGATATTTTTTCCTATTTACGTATCAAATCGCAGTATGAGAATAGAATATCAGTCATGGAAGTTGATAAAAATATTTTGTTTCTTGAATAAGTTTTGGTTCGATTTGCACAGTCCCGATGGAAAATAGAAAGATAAATATTTGTCTAAACCTGAACGTACTGATCGTCGTCAGTATCGCCATTGTGAGTTTGCTCCGAATTGTAATTCGGATCGATTTTCTCGTAATCGGGATCAGTTTTCTTGTTCTTGTTGACCTTCTCGTAGCCACCGCTGGTGGAATTGTCGGCCGCATAATTGTTGAGTTGCTCATAGGGAGGGTCGACATTCTGAGGCATAGTCACGTACTTGACACTCTCGTAGTTCGGGTCGTTGTGTTGAACGGACTCGTAGTTGGGGTCGCCGTCGCTGTCTCCAGGGCGGCAGACGGACGCGTAATTCGGTTCGTGGGGCATGCTCTCGTAATTCGGCTCGGAGTCCGTGTCCTGGTCCAGGTCGACTCTCTTCGGCAGCCTCACTCTCTCGTAGCCCGGATCTTCGCTGCTCGCGTTGCTCACTTGTCGATGCTTGAAAGGCATCGAGTAAATGGGCAGAGTCTCTTCCCTGCTTGCACTGGTGCTCGGGTAATCTTCACTCTTCGGAGCTTCATTGTACTGTGGTCTCAGCATTTCGTAATTAGGATCGCTCGATGCTTGATCGCTCCTCAAATTCAAATTCGATTTGTGGTTCGAATTGACAAACTCGTAGCCGTGATCACCCTCTGAATTCGCAGCCGAATTGTTGGCGTCAACTGGTCTCGGAATTCGCGTGCCCTCGTCCTTCGAAACTCGTCCTTCCGAATTGTGATTCGCTTCAGTGCTGAAATGGTGGTAATAGTTGTCCTGCTCGCGCTTTTGAATCTCCACCGACTCGTGACTAGACCAAGAAGCTCGACTCACTTCGATGAGGCTGAGCTTCCTTCTTGGAACGGACAGATCCGCATTTGCAACGGTTGCATTTATGGCGACGACAAAGTCTGAATGCACTTCCTCAGTCTCGCGCTTTCTCTTAATTACCTTAGCGTACATGTCTTCTAAAGACTTACCGGAACCGATGCTGGCTCTTAAACGATCGTCCCTTTTGTCTCGTTTCTCTGGCTGAGCGTAAACGTCCACAAGTCCCTCAGGCGGCGGTGGCAATGGAGAATTCGCCTGGCGCTTCTCAGGCTTTGGCGAACTTGGATTCACTATTGAACTCGTAGCACTTGAAGACGATGCTAAACAAATCAAATCTTCAATTCTTATTTCTTTTTCAAATAAAATTTAATACCAATTAAAAAATATGAAACAAATGATGATTTTGGAAAGTAAGAAATGTTTGAATTGTACCTTGTCTTGAGTGAGCATGGGCCACGTGACGTAAGCTGTCAACACTAGGAGGCTGAGGAGCAGACAAGTGTAAATCCTCCAACCGCGATGGCGGTGGTGCGGACGCAACGGATTCATTTTGCACAACTCTAACAACCTCACTGACAGCTGGTTGAATTTGTGCATAAGTTTCACTTCCACTTGTATATACTTTTTCTTGTTCATCGATAGCAGCATACATTTCATCTATTTTTATGAATAATTGTTTTTTCATTAATTAATTATTAATTTATATATGAGGCGTTATTTCTCAAACGACCCAGCCAAAAATCGAAAGTTTTGGAATTGATACTTTGGAAAATTAGTCCCGGATTAAAAAAAAAATTATTTGCAATTGTTTAAACAAATTAAAAAAATTTTCTTTTACCAACGTAACATGAAAGAGGAATTTTTTGAAGGGAGGTATCGAAATAAAATAATTTTAAAACAATTGTAAATAAGAAAAATTTCTAAAGAAAAACGTTTTGCACTAACTTGTTATGATTAAGATTTATGTTCTTTCTATTATTTATAATAAGAAAATTTGACAAAATATACCTGAATCATCAGAAACAGTTGCATAATGTGAATCCATCAATGACCTCGAAGGCTGTCTCTGTTTTGTTTCAGCTATTATATTAGCCAATGGCTCTCTAACACTTATGCTTGTGTATCCCTCTGAAAATAAATTCAACAAATTTTCAACCCACTTTTGCGAAAAGTCATTTTTGCGAATTGTCATTTATGCAAATCGTTCTTGTTCTGAAATGTCATTTTTTCGAATTGTCATTTTTACGAAATGTCACTTTTATGAATCGCCATTTTTACAAATTGTCACTTTTGCGAAAAGTTATTTTTTCGAATTGTGATTTTTACGAAATGACAATTCGCAACAGTGACATTTCGTAAAAATGACAATTAGAAAAAATGAATTTTCGCAAAAGTGACAATTCGTAAAAATGTCGATTCACAAAAGTGACATTTCGTAAAAATGACAACTTGAAAAAAATGACATTTCGGAACAATAACGATTAGTAAAAATGACAATTCGTAAAAATGATATTTCGCAAAAATGACTTTTTGCAAAAGTGGCAATTCGTAAAAATGGCGTTTCGCAAAAGTGACATTTCGTTAAAATAACAGTTCGGATAAACGAAATTCGGTAAAATGACAGTTCGATCAAATGACATTTGGGGAATAATCATGCGCCTCTTCTTTTAATTATATTATATAATTATATTATTACTAGGTTTTTATATAATAGGGAGATAAACAAAATTTTTTGGATAAAAGGGTTAAAAGAAGTGACTTACATAATTACAATTACTTACTAGAATCTTGAGAATCCCCACTGAAATGTTGTTGAGGATTACTGTGCTGTGCCTGCGGTGGATGAGGCAGAGGAATTAAAAGAGGGGGCGTCATGTAAGGTAGGTCTTGATTCGCTTGAACTTCACCGGATATGGCATTAGCAGCTTGAATGTCGGGCACTATTTCAGTTGACAGAAGTGAACTGTGCGATGACGACCTGCGAGTTCTCGGGGGTGCCACTGGGTTCGCATTCGACTGGCTGACAGAAGTTGTTGGCGAAGAACTGTCTATGCCCTGACTAGCATTATTTCTGTAAACAATTTTCATCTAAATTAACTTGTCATTTGCAAAAAGAATTTATCTATGACGAAATAAATAGAAAATTAACATTAATTTTCATTAAATAAGAATCTGTAACTGTGTTCAAAAATACCTTATGAGTTGGCTGGCCTCAGTCTTCTCGATGTTTTGAACTTGTGCATAAGGATGTTCGTCTACAAAAAAAACAAGGTTTATTATTAAATAACTGAAAACAATATTAACGGAAGTTTTAAAACCTATTTGAAAACTACAAAAAATACTCAACAGAAGATTCGTTTTTAAAAATAGGTATTAAATTACTAAATTCAAATTTTTTATTTACAAATGAATTTTTCAGGGTTGCCACAAAAAATTAATTTTGTTTTTCCCTGATTCCCAGACAAAATTTTGACTTTTTCCCTGAAAGAATATTATGATTTACTCTAAAAATTATTACACATTCAGAAAAATGTTCTAATACTTTTATTTACGAATTTCTTTAATTGGAAAATTATTCAAAAACATCAATAACTTCTTTTTTTTAAATAAATATTTAATCACTATTATTTTTCCACAGGAATTGAGATTTTTAAAAAATTCAAATTTAAACCTTTTGAAATTCAATAACTTTTAAGGATATTATTATAAAACATGAAGATACCGATCACTCCGAGTCTTCGACTCGGACTAATCGCTATCTTTATGTTTTATAATAATTTAAACTTTTATAAAATTTTTAAAAAAATAAATTTACAAAAATTTTAATAAAATCCTTTGCAAGAATTCAATTATTTTTATAAGTGATACAATTTTTTACATCAGTTAAATTATTTAAAAAATATAATAAAATTCGTTGTAAGAATTCAATTATTATCATAAATAATAAAATTTTTCCTAGGATTTAAATTATTTTTAATACAATTTTAAATTAATTCTTCGATAAATGTAATTATTTTCAAACATTTTTTGCATGAATTCAATTAAATTTCACAAATATTGAAATTAGTTGGGATATAGTTTTCAATTTTTGTAATGACTATCAAATACACGATTAAAAATTAAAATTTTTTAATTCTTTAAAAAAAATACTTGAGATTTCGTTAAAAACTTGTAAAAATACAGAAATTATGCAAATTTTTTAATAAAATTTTGAAATAATCTATTTAGAAATCGTAACTAACAAAAAGAAATTATAAGTATTTTTTCGTAAAGATATTTAAAATTTTTAAAAAAAATTATTTTATAAATATATTAATTTTGGAAATTTTGGTATAAAAATGTTGTAAATTATTATTTTTTTAAAAGAAGAACAGAATTTTGTTAAAAAATTGCTATAAGAAAAAGGAATCTTATCAATGATTTTGTAAACAGAATTGTGATTAAGAAACAGAAAATATACAAAATAGTTTTAATTCTCTAACTTCTTTAAAAATTATGGAATTTCAAGAAAATAAATATTAGAAATCATAACTTTTTAGAAAAACTTGCTTTAGAAATCAAAACTTGTTTAAAAAAACTCTATTTAGAAAACAGATTTTATTAGAAATCGCTTTTTTAGACGAAAAGGATTAGAAAATATTTTTTAGAAAAAGTGACCAACTGCCGTTGAAATTCATCGCTGAAATTCAAATATTTTAAAAATCTAACTATTTTAATAAAATTCCTCAAAAGAATTCAATTATTTTTAAAAAATGTAATAAAATTCATTGTAAGAATTTACTTATTTTCATAAATAATAACATTCTTCACAGGCTTTAAATTATTTTTAAAAAAGTGTAATCAAATTCGTTGATAGAATTCACTTATTTTCATAAATAACAATATTCTTCATAGAATTTTAATTATTTAAAAGAAATGTAATAAAATTCGTTGCAAGAATTAAATTATTTTCATAAATAATAATATTCTTCACAGGATTTCAATTATTAAAAAAAATGTAATAAAATTCTTTTTAGGAATTCAATTATTTTCATAAATAATAGTATTCTTCACTGAATATCTATTATTTTTAGTATAATTTAAAGTAAATTGTTTGAAAAAAGTAATTAATTTCAAAAATTTTATTACAATTTTGGAAGAAATAAATGAACTATTATTCATTATTGTTAATAATTTTTGCAAAAGTTTCTAGAGAAGAATTTTTTAAATGCATTTATTTACAATTAAATTTTACGAAATTTTGATTATTCGGAAATTCTTCAATTAAATATTTAGAAAATAAAAACTTGAAATAATTACAAACAAAATTGAATTAAACTTTTTTAAAAATACAATTATTTCTATAAATTCAATGCTTTTAATATTCAATTCTTATCTAAAACTTTAACTGAAATTCATTTTTAAATTAATTTTTATTAGAAAATTCTGCTAAAATCGGATTATTTAAGTAGAAAAAAATAATAATTTAGTGAATAATTGAATGTTTCTTAAAATTGCATTCTCATAAATAATTTTATTTATAAATTTTTAAATAACTGAATTCTTTTGACGACTTTTAATAACATTTTTAAGAATTATATTTTTTGAGGAATTCGGTTAAAATTGTATTTTAAAAATAAATGAAATTTTATTGTGAGTTACTATTATTCATGAAAATAATTGAATCTCTATACAAAAATTGTATTATTTATGAAAAATAATTAAATTATTGCAAAGAAATTTATAAAAAAATTTGTAAATAGTTGTATTTTTGTGAAATTTTTATTATTTATGAAAATAATTGAATTTTAGAGAAGAATTTTATTATTTTTAAAGATAATTGAAATTTTGACGAGAATTTTTTTTAATTTTTGAATGAACATAATTGAATTTTTGCAAACATTTGTAACTTCTCTAAAATTTAATGTTTTTTAGTGTTTTTAACTAAAATTCTTCTATAAATCCATGATTTTTGAATAATTAATTAAATATATATATTAAAAAATTAAATAAAACTAATAATGAATCATGCAAATTAAATTTTTTCCAGAATTTTAATAAAAATCCCTGACTTTTCCCTGAATTCTCGAATTTCCCTGACCTGTGGCAACCCTGTTTTTGCAATTATTTGTAAAGTAAATAATTTTACCGTTATTGGTTTGAGGAGTTTTAAGTCTTGCGTATGAGTACATTGGATCTTCTTGAGAGCTCTGTTGAGATATACTTGAAGTTTCTCGTTCAGACTTTCTTTCTGTTGAAAAACAAATTATATGGTTACGATAATCAATTTATGAAAATATCATGAATTTCTTATTCAAGATTAGAAAATATAATTTTACCTTTATCCTGTACTGTGGCATAGAGCTCCAAATTATCAGCGATTGTTTCTGATGCCTCATAAATAACATCTTGAGGAGTGGATTCAATTCTACTCTCACTACTTGAGCTTTTATCTTTTGGAATGTCTGGAAGACTTCTATTTGCAGAAGTTGTTCTGTGCAGAAAATAATGCAAGTTTTTTTTATTAATACTACAGTCAAAGTTAAGTTTTACGAATAGCTATACATAAAATTTATCGAATTAGTCGATAAGAATTCAATTACTTTCGATTGAAAGAACTTATTTTTTTCTTTAAAATTTAATCAAGAGTTAATATAATAAGAGTGAATAAATTATATTATATTAATGAAGAATATAGAAAAACTTGTAGAAAAATTTAATAAAAATCTCAAGAAATGTGTTTATTTGGCTAACAAGGAAATAAAGCTAGAAACCTTTTGCTGCAATCCGTGTTATCCTGAGTAATAACTTGCGAGACGTCAGATGTCGGAAGTCTGTTGAAGCCCTCACTATCAGGATGCGTGATCGTTACCATACCAGGCAGTCCCAGAAACTCACTCCTGTTAGAAAAGAATTACCGTCGTCAATTTTAAAGAACAATATGATTTTAAGTCCTAAAATTGACCTCATCTAGTTTTAAGCATAAAAGTAAGCTACTTTTTATTTATTCTAATTGTAAGATGGAAACGGTTTCAGAAACTGGTTTTTATATACTTATTTACTTTTGTTTTCGATTATGTCTAAGTCTCTAAGTTTCATAAAAATCAAAGAATTTGATTTCGTAAACTTAAAGTATAAAAAAGGAAAGTTACCACTCACTTGTTATCATTGCGACGACAGCTACAAATACAAGCAACAATTAGTCCTACAAACGACAGCAACGTTCCTACGGAGATGACCCAGTAGTACCAGGTATTTTCATTAAAAATTGAATATACCATGTTGCTGTCTTCTTCTCTGTCCAGAGGGTTCAATTCTGTGAAAATAATCATTTCTGTTACAAACGAAATTACAGGGCTCGGATCGTCTTTAAGGCTCAAAAAAAGTCGCTTAAGTCGCATAAATTTACAACAAAAGTCACGAAAAGTCGCATGAAATCTTAGAAAAAACGACAAAAAGAAAACACAAAATTGTCAAAATTGTAAAAAAAATCACATTTTTAATATTTTTAATTTAATTTAATTTTAATTATTAATTAATAATTTTAATTTAATTTAATTTTTAATACATTAATATAAAAAAATCCGGAATAAAATTTTAAAAAATTTAATAAAATTCATAGCAAAATTTTAATTAGGTATTTTTAACATTTTTTTAAAAAAATTCTCTTTAAACTGTCAATTATTTTTATAAATAATAAAATTCTTCTCCGAAATTCAATTATTTGCAAAATTTTTAATAAAATTCTTGTCAAAATTTCAATTATTTTTATAAATAATAAAATTCATCCTAGAAATTCAATTATTTGCAAAGAATTTTAATAAAATTCTCATCAAAATTTTAATTATTTTAAGTCTTATAATATAAAATAATAAGTAAGAATATTGTTACTGTAACTTCTTCAAAACTATTTTCATAATTTCAATTCAATTATTATTTTCTAGAATTTTTAATTAAAATTCTTCTTTAAATCAATTATTATTCATAATTTTTGAAAAAGTTCATTGAGAATTTTTGTATCCATTTGTTTACAATTCAATTTTATAAAATTTCGATTATTCGGAAATTCTTCTATTAAATACACATTAGAAAATAAAAACTTCAAATAATTTTAAAAAAAATTAAATTAAACTTATTAAAAAGAATTAATTCAACAGAATTGTTAGTTAAAAGTAGAAAAAGTTAGATTTTCAAAGAAATTTAAATTTAAATCTTTTTCAAAATTCATAAACTAAAATGCTTTTAATATTCAATTATTTATCAGAAATTTTACTGCAATTCACTTTCAAATCCATTTTTAGTAGAAAATTCTACGAGAATTCAATTATTGATATAGGTACACAAATATATAATTTATTGAATAATTGACTCTGTTTCTTAAAATTGAATTCTCATAAAGAATATTTTCAACAAATTTTTAAATAATTGAATTCATTCGACGAATTTTGATGAAATTTTTAAGAATTACATTCTTTTGAGAAATTTATCGATTAAAACTGTATTAAAAATATTTGACATTCTACAATAAGTTTTATTATTTATAAAAATAAAATAAATAAATAAAATAAAATTATAAAATCTTTTGCAAGAATTGAATTATTTTCATAAATAGTAAAATGCTTTTTAAGAATTCTTTGTAATATTTAATTATTTTTAAAAACTTTTCGCAATTCAATGATTTTCTGTATCTACCAATTTCATAAAATTTCCAAACAGATTTCAATTATTTAAAAAAATGTTTGTAAAAATCTTCGTAAGAATTTTATTCTTTTCATGAATAATAAAATTCTTTTGAGGAATTCAATTATTTTTGAAAATTTTAATAACATTCTTTGCAACTATTCAATTATTTTCATAAATAATAAAATTCATCGTAGGATTTCAATTATTTTTAATACAAATTTACATGAATTGCTCAAAAAATGTAACTATTCTTAAAAATTTAATTTCAATTCCTCAAAAGAATCAATTATTTTAAAAAATATTTTTTTAAACTTCTTTTGAAATAATTCAATTATTCTTTTAGATTTTAATAAAATTATCTCAAGAATTCAATTATTTACATAAATAATTCTTCGAAAGAATTCAATTATTTACATAAATAATTCTTCGAAAAAATTAAATTATTTAATTATTTTCATAAATAACCATATTCATCATAAGAATTTAATTATTTTTAAAAGTAATAAATTTCTTCTTGGAAATTCTATTATTTTAAAAAATTCTTATAAAATCTTTCGCAAGAATTGAATTATTTTCATAAATAGTAGAATGCTTTTTAAGAATTCAATTATTTTCAAAAAAATTTAATAAAATGCCGCACAGACATTCAATTATTCTCAAAAATTTTAATAGAATTCTTTGTAAAATTTAATTATTTTTAAAAACTTTTCGCAATTCAATGATTTTCAATATCTACTATTTTCATAAAATTTCTAAACAGAATTCAATTATTTAAAAAAAATTTTGTAAACATCTTCGTAAGAATTCAATTCTTTTCATGAATAATAAAAATTTCTCAGGAAATCAATTATTTCAATTAGAATTTGCATAAAATTAGTCGAAAGAAATTATTTAAATTTTTTTATAAAATTCTTCGCAAGAATTAAATTATTTTGATAAATATTTAAATTCTTTCATGAATAATAAAATTCGTTGAATATTTTTGATGAAAATTAGGAAAAAGTCAGGAAAATAAAATATAGAATGGAATTTTTGTCAGTTTTGTAAAGTTTCTGAAACGAGTTTTTTTTGGTCGTCAAGTTTAATTTTTCGATAGCTACTTTTTTACACCCTTTTTTTAGTTTGAAAGCTACTTTTTGAAAATTAATTATCGAGGGCGAAGTCTGACAATATAAAAGCAGAAAACAGAGTAATAAATTCTTTTAAAACTTATGTTGAAATATATTGAATTGACTCAGTTACATTATTGTCAATTTAATTTGACAAATTGAATTAAATGGTTAATGACTAAAATTTTTATTAAAAAAATTCTAGTTTTGAAATCAACTTACCCATGAGTAGAACAGATCCTGGATCTGGATCTTGAGATATGGATATTGGACGACGTTCAAGTCATTTTAAAACTATAGTAACTCGAAGTTGATTAAAGTTTCAACTGATAATAAAATACCAGACAAGACGAAATTCTTATTTTTTACATTCCTTGTGCATTGTTGCACAGAAAAAATCAGTATGTTGTCAAGCTGTTGACACTTTTCTCTATAGTTTTTCACATACACGCTTTGCTAGCTACGCCCCTTAAACAAACCATGTAACTCACACCAAAGATCACATCTTTGAAGCAACTTTTTATTTTAATTTTATAGAACATCCAATTCTGACTTGTAATGTTTTTGATTGACTTTTGTAGTTTGTCACACGCCTACAATTATTAACGATACGTCAAATGTCACTTAACCTAACCTTCAGCAGAAAGTATACAAAGTGTGTATCGTGTGTATTCTTGAAATTTACAAACATGAGAACTTTTTAATCCCAGTCTTCACTAATAAAATATTTTACTGTATAATTGAAACAGTAGAAAATTACTGTTTACTTTTCATTTACAGTGCGAAATGAATGATTTTAACTTTATAAATGTTGTAACTCTTTTGGGTACAAACACAATAATCTCGGCTCTTGTTCACATTTTCACAATGAACACAATCGCCACGAAAACTAAGGGTGCAGTCCCATGACAGCGTTTTGCGTAGCGTCGTAATGGGAGAGAAAAAGACGCAAATATACGTTTGCTGCATTCTCTCTCATTACAACGCAACGCAAAACGCTGCCATGGGACTGCGGCCTAAGGCTGCGGTTACACCTGCAGGCAGGCTGCCTGCAGAGGTGTAAGGCTGCTTCTACAACAACTTTTTTTTTCATCGACACGAACAAAATGCACTGTTAAAGGCCAACGCAGAATAGATCTGTAACCGGAACCGCAATCGTAGCCGTAAGCGTAAGAATGAGTTAGAGAAGGATAAACAATATACCTATCCTTCCTTAACTCATTCTTACGGTTACGCTTACGATTGCGGTTCCGGTTACAGATCTATTCTGCGTTGGCCTTTAAACCATACAAAATGCATGGTTTTATGCATGCGCGCGCATGCAACCATGCGCGCGCATCGTTTTCACGCTCATGTCAATGAAAAAAAAGTTGTTGTAGAAGCAGCTTTAGGTTGAGTCCACAATAGGCACTTTTCTTAAGGTTGAGTCCACAATTGGCACTTTTCTTAAAGCGATGCATACCATCTACATCGATTTCTATTGTTCGAACAATGGAAATCGATGTAGAGGGTATGCATCGCTTTAAGAAAAGTGCCTATTGTGGACTCAACCTGAAGCGATGCATACCCTCTACATCGATTTCCATTGTTCAAACAATAGAAATCGATGTAAGGCCTGAGCAGAATAAAACGGAAAGCGAACGCAAGCATGAGATAAAAAAGGACAGAAGTTGGTCTGTCCTTTTCTATCGCATGCTTACGTTCACGTTACTTTTTTATTCTACGTTAGGCTGTAGATGGTATGCATCGCTTTAAGAAAAGTGCCTATTGTGGACTAAACCTTAGAGTGTCGTCTGTTTGTTTTCCCTCCAGCTATCTGACGTCACAACTCACAAGTGAAACAGATAGAAAAGGACACAAACATATCTCTATCCTTTTCTAACTCACTTTTTGCATTCGCGAAGCAATTGTGCTTAGGCCTTTATTTTGTCGCATTCAAAATTCGAAGTTAGTTTGTCAACGACTTTCCAAGTTTCTGTTACCGCTTGTAGTCTGCTATTATTGTATATAAATGTAGAAATAATTGAATCGTTTCTATTATTATGGCTTTGTGGACAAGAGTGTACGCAGGATTTGATGCAGACGAGGAGACTGTCAATTTTGGTACTAGGGCTTTTGCAGAAACAAATGGATCTATTTATGAGTCCTTTACTGTGGCCGCAATTCAACCTGATCGCGAGGTTGTTTACAAACACTTCTTACTTTGTACACTGACTGACTTGATCATTGACTTACAATTTAATCAACAAATACTAAAATTGCAATTTTTAAATAATGTTAATTATTAATTTAAGTGTTTCTTATTTTTATTATTCAGGTTGATCACAGTCCAAATGTGATTGCCTCTATTCAACATTCGAAAGTTTGCGTTGCTTTAGACAAATCCATCACTATTTTTAATGATGAAAGTTGTAAATCAATTACAATTAGCAGCACATTTGACTCGTTGATAGCGAGTTATACTCTTTCTAGAGATGGATCGTTTCTGTTCATTGCCCTTGCCAGTGGATTCGTCCACTGCTTGCATTTACCTAGTAAAGGAAGGCTCGTTTTTTCCAAGTAAGAAAAGGAGTTAAATACATTTTCTTGATGACAGCAAAAATTTGCAAATGAATGTATATTTTACTAAATTTTTTACATTTCAGAAATATCACTGAAGCACAGAATCAAAATAAAATCTTGAAAATATTTACAGAAAATAAGGAAACGTTAGATGTTATTGTTGTCACGGAAAATGGAAGTATATTCAGGTAAGATTTTTAAACAAATCTTTTTAAATGCAAAAAGTTTTAATCTTTTCTTATTGCAAATAAGGGATTCTCCTGAAATGGACCACTTCACGTGTTTTTTATCTTTTACTTAAACATTTCAAAATTAATTCAACTTATTGCACAAGTGAAAAAAAGTGTGTTTCATTTATCACTATTTCGATAATCGATTAAAAAACATAAACAAATTACGACAACGGAAGCAAATAAACAATTATTACTATAAAATTAATTCAATTTTAAAATAGTTGCATTTACAATTTTTATGAATAGATGAACTTCAAAAGGTTTTAATTTAAAATTTTAGAAAATTTCAATTTTCAATTAATTTAATTAGAAATTTTACAGAACTTAGATTTTTGAAAAATTTAAATAATTCTTTTGAAATTAGTTGAATTTTAAAGGCCAACGCAGAATAGATTTGTAACCGGAACCGCAATCGTAAGCGTAACCGTAAGAATGAGTTAAAGAAGGATAGGTATATTGTTTATCCTTCTCTAACTCATTCTTACGCTTACGGTTACGATTGCGGTTCCGGTTGCAGATCTATTCTGCGTTGGCCTTTAAATATTTAATTAATTATTGGGTCAAAATAAGTGAAACCGGCCACTTGAAAAATTTTTATCTCCAATTTTCAAGTTATCTATGATTTTTAGTAGATATATGAGTACACTTTTTCCCCCTAAAATATTTTTCAAAAAAAAATTTTATTTTTGAAGTAATTAGGTATTGAAGTTTAGGTCATTTTATTTTCATTTTATTATTACTTTGAAACAAATAAAGATAATTAAGTAATTTTTTTTTAAATTAAAGCTTAAAGTCTATACTTTAAAGATGAAATAAAGCGATTGCTAAAAAATGAAAATTTATAATTGTTATTAACAATTCTTTTAAACAATTGCAAATTGAAGAATGTTCTCAATGTTTTTGAAAGATTAAATTACGATATATTGATGCGCAAAACTATAAGGATTCATTTAAAAAAAAGAAAAATGAGTAACTTCCAATATTATAGAAATTATGTAAATTTTGCTGACAAAATGCAAGCAAAAATTGACTCAAGTTCCTGGAAAAAGATAAAATTGCAAACGAATAAATAAGATCTTCTTTTGTTTTGTTAGAAACTTCACGCTTTCAAGCGGATTTTTAAGATTAAAAATCGATTTTGGCCTGCATTTTGGCAGAAAAATCTACACAATTTCTATAATATTGGAGGTTACTCATTTTTCTTTTTTTTAAATGAATCCTTATAGTTTTGCGCATCAATATATCGTAATTTAATCTTTCAAAAACATTGAGAACATTCTTCAATTTGCAATTGTTTAAAAGAATTGTTAATAACAATTATAAATTTTCATTTTTTAGCAATCGCTTTATTTCATCTTTAAAGTATAGACTTTAAGCTCTAATTTAAAAAAAAATTACTTAATTATCTTTATTTGTTTCAAAGTAATAATAAAATGAAAATAAAATGATCTAAAACTTTAATACCTGATTACTTCAAAAATAAAATTTTTTTTTGAAAAATATTTTAGGGGGAAAAAGTGTACTCATATATCTACTAAAAATCATAGATAACTTGAAAATTGGAGATAAAAATTTTTCAAGTGGCCGGTTTCACTTATTTTGACCCTATTAAAAATAATGGATTTATAGAAAAATTTTGGTTAAAAGAACTAAAAAAAATTGAATTTTGGACGAAGCTAAAAATGATTGCGAAAATTCAATTATTTTCAAAAGTCATAAAATTCTTTGCAGAAATTTAATTATGTTCAAAATTTTTTTTAATTCTTGACAAAATTTAAACTATTTTTATAAATGAACTTCTTCGACAAAATTAAATTATTTTCAAAAACTTTAATAAAATTCTTGACAAAATTTCAATTATTTTTAAAATTTTTCCTCTAGTCAAAGATTTCCAATATCTACTATTATAATAAAATTTTCCAAAAGAATTCAATTATTTAAAAGAAATTTTGATACAATTCTACGCAAACATTCAATTATTTTAAAAAATAATAAAAATTTCACAGCAATGCAATTATTTACAAATTTTTTAAGGAATTTAATTATTTTCATAAAAAATAAAACTTGTCGTAGAATTTCAATTATTTTTAATATAATTTTCATCAAATTTCTCGAAAAATGTAATTATTCTTCAAAATTTTATGAAAATTCGTCAAAGAATTTCAATTATTTAAAAATTTGTTGATAACATTCCTTATGAGAATTGAATTTTCAGAAACATTAATTTATTTAATAAATTATTTATTTTTGTATTTAAATAATTTAATTCTTATAGAATTTTCTAATAAAAATTGATTAATAAAAATGAATTTCAGTTAAAATTTTAGATAATAATAATTGATTATAGTATTATAGTGTAAATTTTTAGAAATAATTGGATTATGAAAAGGTTTCAAATAAAAATGTTTAAAAATCTGAATTTTTTATACTTTTAACTAAAAATTCTGTAGAATTAATTTTTTAGAAAAAATTTAATTGTTTTTTTTAAATTATTTGAAGTTTTTATTTTCCAAAATATATTTAGTTGAAGAATTTCCAAATAAATTGAAATTTTCATAAAATTGAATTGTAAACAAATGGATTTAAAAATTCTCAAAGAAAAACTTTTTAAAAAATTACATGTTAAAAATAATTCATTTAAAGAATAATTTTAGTTAAAAATTGTAGAAAATAAAAATTGAATTAAAATGATAAAAATAATTTTGAAGAAGTTGCAGTATGAATATTCTCATAAGTTGTTGAATTTGACATTTATGAAAATCTTAATTCCGTTGGAAAATAATGATAATTAAATATTTATTTGATAGAAAGTTATTGATGTTTTCGAATAATTTTACAATTAAAGAAATTCGTAAATAAATGTAAAAGAGCATTCTGTTGAGTATAATTTTTTCCCTTATTTTTTAAAAATTCAAAAAAATTTAAATCTTATTTTTATAATTAAAATTTGTAATTACCAAATAGAATTTAAAAACATTTTTTCCTTTATTTTCAAAAAATACTTTGAATTTTATTAAAACAATTGTAATTAAGAAATAGAATTGATGAAAATGATTTCCTTATGAAAATTGAGAATTTTCTGCAAAAATATTAAGAAACGGGAATATGTAATGGTTTTTTTCCCGAAATAAAAGAATGAGCACAGAAAAGTAAATTAAAATTTTTAAAAAATCTACTTTGTTAAACTTTATTATTAGTTTTTCATATTTGCAATTAAGATTCTTGAAAAAGTTTAGTTTTTAATATTTTCCGAAAATTCTTTTAATAAATTCAAATATTGTCCAAATTTTTTACTAAATTTCAGTTATTTGGAAATTTTTCAATTATTAACGTAGGTAAAAATCTATTTTCATTCAAAAATTATTTTATAGAATATTTTGAAAAAATTAAATTTTAAAGAATTTTTTATAACACTTTTTTAAAACTTTATTTTGATTATTTTCGGCTAAATGTTTTCAAAAAATTAACCTTTATAACTTTAAAGAGAAATCATGAAGAGTTACAGTTACAATTATTGTAAATAATTGAATTTTTATATTTAAATAATTGAATTCTAGAAAAATTTTCGGAAAATTATTAAAAATAATTGATTTAAAGAAGAAGTTCATTAGTTAAAAGTTCTTCTACATAATTTAATTCTGAATGGAGTACAGTGTTAATTTTTAGAAATTTATAGTTATTATTAAAGCGACTTTTATTTATAGGATTTCAGGTTTTAACGAGAAAATTATTCATAAACATCTTATGAAAGATAATCAGCAAGCAGCATCCGAAGCTGTACAATGTATCGAATGTCACAAAATATTTAGCTGTCTCACAAAAAACGAGGTTTGTTGACAATTAATTTTTAGAATGAAATAGATTTTCTTTCCCAAAAGAACCAGTTAAAAGTTAATCATTGTGATATTTATTACTTAATTATAGATTTGTCACGTAAGCGTTGATATTTTAAACAACAATGAAGCTTCGTTATTCATGGTTGGCAGAGAAACGTTAATGTGGCCCAGTGAATGCTCCATTTTGATGAAAAATTTACCTAGTCAGTACATTCGTTCTCAGTTTCTAAAAAATCAAAGGTACGTTTGTGTTATAAATTTACTCTCGACTCCTCAACCTTTTATATTTAAAGAGCCCACACCATTCATATAAAATTGGACGGTATCAACAAAAATTTTTTGTTAATATTATTACCTAACAATTTAGTTTTTTGTGGTCTGAAATGAAAATTTTTTTCTTCAAATTCAGTTTACCGATTTAAAAATACCAAAATGGATTTTCTTCGTCATAAAACAAAGTATTCAAAAATAATTTTTAAAAAAAATTAATTTAAAAAATTTTTTTTAAAAATTAATTTTTAATTGTTTTTTATATAATTTGTTCATGTTAAGAAAAAAAATTTATTTACTTTTTTTTTTTTTTTTTTGTTGTGTCTTTTTGATACTTTCTCTATAATTTGTTTATAAAATGTTAATAACAAATTTTTTTCTAGGAGGTGCAGAACACAATTTGTTATTAAAATTTTAGAAACAAATTATATAAAAAAGTCTAACACAATTTGTTATTAACATTTTATAAACAAATTATATAAGAAAAACTATTAAAAAATTAATTTTTTTAAAACCCAAAGACAATCAGGTTTCGATAAAAAAATTACTAATGAAACTATAATAGGGTTCTACTGTGTCTTCGATCGGACAAATCTTTGTGCATAATCTGCCCATGGACTCTTCTTGCAAAGAAAGTGTACGATGGTCCTGTAAGTGATTTCTTAATACTTCAAGATCATATTAATGAACCTCTTCATCTGATAATTCTGCGAGAACCCTTGAATGGAGCTAACACAACTTCCTTGGAATATGTATCTTACCCTGGTAAATATAATTTTGTACATAAACATTAGTTCTAATTTGCTTATGTAAAGATAAATATACAGTACGAAAACCTACCACGTCAGTCATATCCCATGAGTGGGAGTGAGACAGACTTATGCGATTCCCATACTTTCCTATGACTGACGGATAGCTTTTCCTACTGTATAATAGAAGATTAAAAATATAATGATAATATGATGACCTAAAGTGTCCAAAAAATTTCTGAATGTGTTGGAAGCTACATTCCACCCATGGGCCATCCGTGGCCCATCTGAGTTTTGAAACCTTGCGCCACACTTTTTCCCGACGGTTACAAATTTAATAATTATATTTACCCGAGCATTACTTGCCATAATTATTTTTAGTTTATTTACTAAAGAGTGAAGACCAATAAGTAAGTAAAGTGTTTTTGAAGAGCCCAAAAATAATGAAGCCATAAATTCTTTCAAATTTTTCGAAAACATCAATAACTTCTTTTTTAAATAAATATTTAATTATTATTTTTTCATAGGAATTAAAATTTTTCAAAAGATTCAAGTTCAAACCTTTTTGAAATTAAACAACTTATAAAAAATTATTATAAAACATGAAGATATCAATCACTCCGAGTCTTCGACTCGGAGCAATCGATGTGTTCATGTTTTATTACAATTAAAGATGACCGAGTGATAAAATCATTATTTTATATTAAGGAAATGTGACTTTTACGACTTTTTGTGATTATAAAGACTTTATAAAAAAAAATTTTAATTATTTTTTATGAAAATAATTGAATTATTGGGAAGAAACTTATAAAACATTAATAAGTAATTGAATTTTGATATTTACAAAGATAATTGAAATTTTGAAAATAATTTAATTTCTGCAAAGTATTTTCATACTTTTGAAGATAATTGAATTTTGCAAAGAATTTTATCAGAACTTTTGAAAATAATTAAATTTCCAGGATGAATTTTATTATTAATGAAAATAATTATAATTTTGACGAGAAATTTAAAAAAAAAAAATTAAATATAATTGAATTTCTAGGATGAATTTTATTATTTATAAAAATAATTGAAATTTTGAAAAGAATTTTATTAAAATTTTTGCAAATACATAATTGAATTTCAGAGAAGAATTTTATTACTTTTAAAGATAACTGAAATTTTGAACAGATTTTTTTTAAAAATGTTTAAAAGCAATTGAATTTTGCAGAAGAATTTTGATATTTATAAAGATAATTGAAGTTTTGAGGAGAATTTAAAAAAACATTTTGAAATAATTTAATGTCTGCCAAGAATTTTCTTACTTCTGAAGATAATTGAATTTTGCAAAGAATTTTATCAGAACTTTTGAAAATAATTAAATTTCCATGATAAATTTCATTATTTATGAAGATAATGATAATTTTGACGAGAAATTTAAAGAAAATTTTGAAAATAATTGAATTTCTGCGAAAAATTTTATTACTTTTGAAAATAATTGAATTTTAGAGAAGAATTTTATTATTCAAAAAGATAATTGAAATAATTTTAAACAGATTTTTCTTAAAAGTAATTGAATTTTGCAGAAGAATTTTTATATTTATAAACATAATTGGAATTTTTATAATAATTGAATTTCTGTAAAGAATTTTCGTACTTTTGAAGATATAATTGAATTTTGCAAAGAATTTTATCAGAACTTTTGAAAATAATTAAATTTTTATGATGGATTTTATTATTTATAAAATTTTGACGAAACATTTTTAAAAAATTAAATATAATTGAATTTCTGCGAGGAATTTTATTACATATGAAAATAATTGAATTTTAGAGAAGAATTTTATTAAAAAATTTTTTAAATAATTGAATTTTGGAGAAGAATTTTATTATTTATAAAAATAATTGACATTTTAAAGAGAATTTAAAAAAATATTTGAAAAATACCTAATTAAAATTTTGCTATAAATTTTATTAAATTTTATTCTTGATTGTTTGATATTAATGTATCTGTTCTCGAGAAATGTGATTTTTTTTACAATTTTGACAATTTCGTGTTTTCTTTTTGTCGTTTTTTCTAAGATTTCATGCGACTTTTTCGGAAATTTTATGCGACTTTTCGTGACTTTTGTTGTAAATTTATGCGACTAAAGCGACTTTTTTTGACTTTTAAAGACGATCCGAGCCCTGGATAAGGGTAGTTTTTTACCAAAGGGTGGAGACCGTTAAATAAGTAAAGTGTTTTTGAAGAGCCCAAAAATAATGAAGCTAAATGCTTTTTAATTTAATTTAACGTTACATTGTCTTTTAATTTACAGACTTTCAAACGAAATTCAAAATATCAGTCCCAAGTTCGACTTACTTAGTGGAATGCCACGGTTCCTCGACAGAAAGTATCATTTATCTTGAAGGCATCGCAAATTTATCAGAGAATATTGAATCAATTAGAGTAAAAGCGCTTGTCGAAAGTTTACCGGAACTTCGTTTGGAACGATTGTTGAGGAGGGAAAAGTTTGAAGAAGCAGAGAGCTTCGCAGATAAATATGATCTGAACAAAGAATGCATTTACTGTGCAAAGGCTGCATTATTTGTAAATCGTTCAGGTCCTTGGGCACGAGACAACACCGAACTAGTTGATTTAAATGAATTTATTGGAACTCTGGACAATATAAGCGACGTTAAATTTGTCTTTAATTGTTGCAATAATGCCTTGATGCCTAATTACAATCAAATGAAAAGATTGTTGTTGTATGCACGACAGAGAATCGTTCAGAGTATTCAGGTATTGTCAATATTTTTATGTAAATTATTATCGTATCAAAGATATTGAAAAACATTTTTTTTCTCTTTTCGTATTGACTGACATAGCAATCAAGCGATAAGAAACTTTCAGTGTTACTCTCTGAAGTGAGCAGTACACTACATAAGCTCGAAACATTTGAGATAATTCGAAAAGTGGATGCGAATTCCGATGAAAGTGAAGAGGAAATGGTTAATGAATGGCTTAGGTTTTCAAAAAGTGATTTAATAGAAGAATGCATTAGATATCTGACACAAGTAAGTGATTTATTTTACATTTTACGTTTCAGAAGTTATAGTTATGATTATAACTATAACACATAAGAAAATTAATTTTTGAATGCTTTTAAGAGCTGAGTGGCCTTTTATTGAAATTCTAAACTGTGGATTCAACATGATTGTTAATTTTTCAAAAATCGAACATTTTCTCAAATTCTCGGAGAACAAAATTCTCGGGTTGATGATAATAATAATAATTTTTAGAGGCCCTTTTTTACGGTTAAAAAATTTTTTAAATTTTTGTCAAAATGTCAATTATCTTTAGAAATAATAAAATTCTTCTCCGAAATTTAATTATTTTTAAAAATTTTAATAAAATTCTTGTCAAAATTTCAATTATTTTCAAAAATTTTTCTCAATTCAATGATTTTTAATATATACTATTTTAATAAAATATTCAATAAGAATTCAATTTTAAAAAAAAATTAATAAAATTCTACGCTAACGTTTATTTGTTTTCATAAAATAATAAAATTTTCACATAAATTCAATTGTATTTACAAATTTTTTATAAATTTCTTACGTCCGTGAAGCTGGCCGGAACATACCATTGTATGAAAATAATGACTATATGAAAATTAAGGGCTAGTTAGGGCTGCATGTCCTGAATTTTCACAATAATTCAATTATTTTCAAAAATAATAAAATTTCTATATATTTCTACTCATCGCAGAATTTCAATTATTTTTAATACAGTTTTAATCGAATTTCTCGAAAAATGTAATATTATTCTTCAAAATTTGACTAAAATTCGTGAAAAAATTCAATTATTTAAAATTTTATTCTTAAAATTCTTTATGAAAATTAAATTTTAAGAAACATTTAATTTCAAACTTTTTCAAAAATTTTTTTTTTGGGAGTCATTTAATTTAATTTTTTTTTTGAGAAACATTTAATTATTCAATCAATTTTTTTTCTATTTAAGTAATTGAATTCTAGTAGAATTTCCTAATAAAAATTTATTTAAAATTGAATTTTAGTTAAATTATTCAGGGTGGCCGCTGGACCGGGAAAACCGGGAAATGACAGTGAATTTTGATCTTGACCGGGATTTTGGAATTTTTTTTTAAAAACGCACACATTACTTTGTGAGAAAAAATAGAAATATTTATTTTAAGACTTAGGTACTAACTATATTTCATTAAAAAAGGTTGAATGATCTATACAATCTATTTATATTTTGTCAGAGAATTTTATAAAAAGTACTATAAAAATATTCAATTTCTAGAATTTATAAGAAAATTGTGAATTTTGTTGTCCAACGTAACAGACTTAGAAAAAGAAAATATTAAATTTAATTTTAAATTCTTTATATTTCTAACAATAATTAAACAAAATATAATTTTAATTAAATTTGTCAAAAAAAATTCAAAGAGAAAAAATTTCACATCCTATAAAATAGTGAAAAATAAATCAATTTAAAAATTTTTTTGCAATAATATTATAACAAAACAAATAAGAATTATTAAAAATTTGAACTAATAAGAACAAAAGTGATATAAAATTTATAAAAAATAATTTTTTAATAATAAATAAAGTAAATAAAAATAAATAAAATTTCTTTTCTTAGAAAATAAATTTTAAAAAACCGTATTTTTCATTAATATCAATTAGTTTTTTTTTACAATTATTCATAAGCAAATTTTTCTATATTTTAGAATGTTAAATTAATATTACTAATATTATTATAGATTGAATTTTAAAAAATTTCAAATTGAAGTTTTAGAAAAGTTGAATTTTAAAATATTTTAATTAAAAATTCTGAATAATTTAGTTTTTAAAAATATTTTTATTCACATTTTTTCAAATTAGTTATGTTTTTAAATAGGTATGTAATATTTAATTGAAAAATTTTCATATTATTTAAAATTTCATGAAATTGTCTTGTAAACAAGTGGATTTTAAAAATATTTTAGTTATTTCTAGAATATAATTGAATTGAAATTTTGAAAATAATTTTTAATAAGTTACAGTAGCAATTCTTAAAAATTATTCAAATTTAAAGGATTTGAAATTTGAATTTTTTTGAAATTTGAATACGTACTATATGGAAAAATAATGGATAATAATTAAATATTTATTTCAAAAAATCTATTTAAGTTCAAAATTATTTTTAGAGTAAACTAAAATATTTTTAGGGTTTGGGAAAAAGTCAAAGTTTTGTCTAAAAATCAGGAAATTCTTTCAATCTTTCGTGGAATAATTTATTTTCGGAGTTATTATTTATGACCAGGAAAAATAATTTATGACCGGGAATGGACCGGGAAATCACCGTGAATTTTTTTTTACAAAAAAAGTGGTCACCCTGTAAATTTGACATAATAATTGAATATTAAAAACATAGTTTGAATTTTTAGAAATAATTGAATTTTGAAAATGTTTCAAATTGAAATCTGAATTCTTCGTATTTTTAACTAACAATTTCGAATATTTAAAATTTTATAAAATTGAATTGTAAACAAACAAATTTGAGAATTCTCAAAAAACTTTTTTAAAAATTATTAAAAATAATGGAGTCTTAGAAGAATTTTCGTTAAAAACACAAAAAAAATTTAATTTTTGAGAAGTTACAAATTTTTCTTGTAAGATGGTAATCAAGTGTCTTACAAGAAATATTTAATTATCACGGATGAAACTAAAGTTACCATCAAAACACATTTGTAGTTACAAATTATTGCAAATAGGGTAAATGCACTAGTAGTCGGACACCTAAGGATACAATCTTAAATTATGCTTTTTTTCTTGAAATAACAAATATCTAATGTGTTTATAAGCACATTATTAATTAAAGGAGTTCTTCAGGATTAAAAATCATATAAATTTGTTACAAATAGTTGAGTATTTAATAAAATATAAACATTTTAATAAAAAATTACGAATGCTTTAGTAGTCGGACACTTTTTCCCCTTGTTTCTATAGTCGGACATCTGTCAGATATTTTGGATTTATAAAGTAAAACAGATAATTTTTTGATTGCTATCTGCTGGAAAATGGAATTAAAGCAAATTAGAAGTTATTAATATAATATTTAAACCCTATAAGTTTTAATATTTATGATAAATTATCAACAAAACTTTGTGCCACTCATCGCGCTACTCGAAAATGGTTGTATCTATAGTCGGACACCATGATTTTTAAAACATTAAATAAAATATTTCTTGTTTAATTATTTTCGAAAATAACACTATTTTAATAAAATATAAACTTCACACATTCGTCTAGTATACTTTTTAAAGTAATTATCACAATGCATTATTATTTATTTGCCAAAAAACACGAAAGTGTCCGACTACTAGTACTGTCCGACTATACCCGCACTTACCCTATTCAATTATTTTCAAAAGTAATAAAATTCGTAGAAAGAATTTACTTATTTAAAAATTTATGTGGTAAAATTCTGTACGAGTATTCACATTTAAGAAACATTAAATTAATATATTTTTGCGTCTTATTTTCAATAATTAAATATCAAAGGATGTTAAAGATTATTAATAAATTATTTATTTTTGTATTTAAATAATTGAATTCTCGTATAATTTTTTAATAAAAATGGATTTAAAATTGAATTTTAGTTAAAATTTTACATAATAGTTGAATATTAAAATCAATAAAGCGTGAATTTTTAGAAATAATTTCATTTTGAAATCAATTTTCTCAAAAAGTTTAATTACATTTTTTATATTATTTAAGTTTTTATTTTCTAATATATATTTAATTGAAGAACTTACGAATAATTGAAATTTCGTGAAAACGAATATTGTAAACAAATGGATTTAAAAATTGTCAAAGAACTATTTCGAAAATTTTTAAAAATGATTCATTTAATGCAGGATTTTAGTTAGAATTTCTTGAAAATAATAATTGAATTAAAGTGATGAAAATAATTTTGAAGAAGTTACAGTAACAATATTCTTATAATATAAACTAATGATTCACTCAGTCATCTTTAATTATTATAAAAAATGAAAAAATTTGTTTTCTAGTTTTAAGTAAAATATAAAAATATAAAAATATAAAAATATTTTAAATACTTTAACTGGTTCGAGCCCTGGGTATTAAAGAAAACGTATTTATAAACCACTTTCACAATTCACAACCACAATTTATATTAAGAAATGTGAAATTATTAAAAAAATATCAATTCTGTTTAGAATAATTTGGAAGCAGCATCTCTTATATGGGTTCAGCACTGTTTGAGTTTAGTAAAAAATTTATCCGCGAAAACAGTGACGACACTGATGGAATCAATTCCAGAGAAGACTCCAATTTGTGAACTTTGGCCGTGGCTAAAACATTTTGTTCCCAGTTTGTTATCCGTGCAGCCGAATTTTTTGTCGCAAATTGTTTCGTGGAGCTGTAGAAAAACAAATCAATTGGAAAAATTTCATCGAAATATCTGGCCTCAAATTGGCTTAGATTTTGTTAATGAATTCATTCAAGTTCTTAATGTTGAAAAAACTCATCAGTCTTCATTGCTCTATCAACAATATGCTAAAAAAAATTCTCCTCTGCAGCGACTTATGACTCTTATTCAAGCGCTAACCGATCTTTTACAATTGAAAGAGAATTACAGGTAAATTGAACAAGTTTCGTTTTTTCTTCCTTTTACTGCTTAAAAACTACGATAAAATAATTAAACTCTTGATTGATTATTTATTTTTTTTGTTGACAAGGATAACTGTGCCTTTGGATACTTATATGGATGATCCTGTAGAATTAATTCACTTACTACTAAATAAAGTACATGTAGAAGAAATGGAAGGCTTTATCAAAAACTTTTTAGCTCAATACATATTGAATCATCATGATTTAAAAAACGATCACGTTTTTTCTCTTTATATTCAGGTAAATTTTGTTTTCTAAAATTGCAGTTGTTGCAAAAGGAAAGAAAATTAAAATTAAAGGCACTTTTTTCAGAAAACATTGAGAAATTCAAAGAATTGGCGTTTTTGGGAAGAAGCACCTTGGGAAAAACGAATCTTTATTGTCATAAGATTTATTCACAATATACAGGTTTTATAAAAAGCAATTAAATAATAAATTAAAATAACTGATAAACTGATATACTTATATACTTTAAACGACCTTAACTTACAGAATCGGCTGCAATTAGTTTTGGACGTATTAAAAGCAGCTCCAGTTCCATGGAGTGCAACAATGGACTTGCTCGCCGAAGAAAATTGTCTTTACGATCATCCTTTGGTAGCGAAAATCAAGATAGAAAAAAATTCCATTCCCGTTAAACTTATTCTCAAAAAATACGATTTCGAAGATGTCAGCTTAAGCAATGTTAGTATTTTTAATTTTATTTAATTTTATTCACAACTTGTTCGGTTTTGACTAGATTCATTAACCTTTTTATTCATTGCAGAAATTGATAAATTGTATTATTAAAAAAGGCGATGCAAATATGATAAAAGATATTTTGGAGTTGACTAAAACTGATTTTTCTAAGAGAGTCTCTGGATTATATTCCGCAATCAACAGAAGTTTACATAAAGGGTAACATTTTTAAATGACCATAAAAAATTTACTTTTTTTGTTTTTAATAAAATTTAATTTTTTATTTTCTAGAGAAATTTCAAAAGCAATTGATATAATTAATAGTTTAGAGGACGACGTGGCTTTGCAGTGTTGTATACAAGTAATTAATTATGCAATGAATCCTTTAATGGTAAAGATAATTTTATTATTTACTTTATTGAATTTAAAAATTTTCTTTCTTTTGCTTTTGTTATTGATTTTATTTTTCTTCTAGGATGTCAATGGCTCTTTAAAATATTTTATAGAAGTTCTAAACGTAATTGAAAGCAAACTGAAGGAGATTTTAAAACGCACAAAATCGAGTTCAGTAAATTTTGATGAAACTCTTCTCAATATATCACTCGTTAAAGCTCTATACACTTTGAGAGTAGAGTTTAACATTAAGGTTTCTGTTTTCCAATATCATAAACAAAAGGAAGAAATTTTGAAGAATTATATCTCTCAAGAGACAAATGGTAAAATATCTTTTATTTAACTAATTTAATTTATTTAACCTTTTATTGCTCCGGATCAACCATACATGCTTGTATTACTTGCGATCTGAAGAAAGTGACCTTAGAAGCAAAAAATTGAAGGTTATGTTTGCAATTTTTTAAATGAAAATACGAAGAAAAAATTTCAACTGTTAAAATAAATCATTGATATTTAAGACTTCGTTACAACTAAAATATTTAATAAACACTGATTTTAATTTGCAATAAGTAAAATGAAACTTCCAATTAAGAAAAAACTAACACTAACATAACCTTAAAGCGATTTGCTTCTAAGGTCTCTTTCTTCAGATCGCGTCACTTATGTCATTCATATTTGAAGGGTGGCATTTTTTCTTAATATAATTTTTTTATTTTTAACCCATGTAAACACTCTAAACTCTAAAATACGAAATTTTAACTAAATTATTGTTTCCACTCCTCGCAAGCAATTTTTTGTTTTGATTATTATTTATTTTAATTTCAGAAGCCATTTAAAAATAATTTTAAGAGGACCCAAGTCGGGTAAAGCAGTGAATTTGGTTTTTTTGTGAAGAATTTTTCGAAAATCCCGGAATTTCAATTAAAAAACCAAAATCACTGCTTTCCCCGATTTGGATCTTTATTGAATTTTTTTTAATGGCTTTTGACTTTAAAATAGATTATTATAAGAAGAAAAAAAATTGCTTATGAGGCAAGGAATTTTTAATTAAGACTTAGAACCTTTTGGAATTTTTTGAAAATGGCTTCTTACAATAAAATAAATAATTGTCATATGAAAAAAATTGTTCCAAGGCAAGGAATTAGCAATTTACTTAAAATTCGGGATTTTTAGAAAATCCTTGTCAAAAAAATAAGAACTAATGTTTCCCAACCTTTTTTTTAATTAAGAGTTAAAAAGTTTCTGAGTGACTTGTCTCATATTCTTCAAAATCAATAGAATTTTCATAAGTAGATCAAATTCAAAAGATTTCAATTTCCATAAAAATTTCAATTTTTAATTAATTTAATTAGAAATTTTAAAGAACTTAGGTTTTGGAATAATCCTGCCACCCTTCATTTTAATTATTATCGACTTTTATTCGAATATAAAAGAAACGTTACCTTGAATGTAAATTTCTTTTAAGAGGTCAATCAAAATTATGAACAGTGGATGCCACTGGTTTGTAAAAACGCACGTCGAATTGCAAATTTACTAAATGCATCAAAATTAATGGTAGAAAGTCTCCTGGATGAACGTATCGAACAAATGTCCATGTTGCATCATAAAGTTTTGTAAGTATTATAATTTACATAAATATACACTAGATTTATTGAACGATAAGTCAGTTTTTAAAATTTTGAAATGGCGGACGTGTTTTTTTAAAAATCGATCGAATTCGCCTCAAGTTTGTAATTTTTTACATTTACGTTTAGCCAGTTTAAAATTTTTGAAATCTGACATCGGATTCTTCATCTGCAACCCCGAAAACCCTCAAGTAACGAATTTAAGGCGAATGCGACCAAGTTTAAAAAACTTGTCTGACATATTGGATCCGCCATTTTGAAATTTTAAAAACTGATGTCGGATTTGAAATCAGCGTCTCCAGACACCCTTGATTAGTGACTTTGGTAACTTTAGTGCTCAACTTAATTATTATTTATGAACAATAAATCTTTTTTTTAATAATAGAATCGCACCAGAAGAAATGAACAAATTGGATGATTATAATACAGCTTATGTTCAGAGAATTTGCTTAACTTCCATGCTGAGTGATCAAAGCAATTATGCAATATCAAACAGGATTTATAATTTATGTGTCTCTTCGATAAATTTATGTCACAGCAGTAAGTAAAAATAAGTTATTATACCGAAAAATCCTCTTATCTCTAGTCTTAGTAGCATTTAGAGAAAAACGTATTTCAAAAGTGCGAATAAATATTTTTAGACAAATAAGTTAATTTTTAAAAAATTTTATCGCCATATTGGATCTGACTTTTTGAATTTTTGAAATTTGACATTAAATTTTATTTCAGTTACCCCTAAAACGTAAAATCTGCAAAGGTGTTAATTTTTCTGAAGAATCATTAAACGGTATTCAATTTTTTGTTCGTTACTTATTTATAAAGGTTTTATAATAAAACAATTTTTATTAACAAAATTAGTTTATTTTTGTACATTATTTAAAATAAATTTTTGAATTTAGTTCAATTGTAATATCACAATAAATTAAAAATCAAGAAATGTAAGCTGCTTCGAGTTACACTAAAAGTTTTATTTATATGACTCTCGAATTAAATTTTTTAAAGGAAATAAATGAAAGAATCACCCAGAGATATCTCGGATTAAACCATAGGGAGGTTAAGATGCATAAACTCAAAAATATTAATATAAATTAATTAATAAAATACGTTTTTCTTAGTCCAATGAATTTATCTTTAAATTTTCTTTTATTTATAAAGTAAACGAATGTTAAATTTTTTTAAAAATTTGAACCTAAAAAGAGAAAATTTCACTTTCAGCTGAACTACAAAGTAACTTAGCTTTGTATACTTGGATCACAACTTATATGGAAAGTTGTTGTTCGAAACTGAATGAACTGGATCCAAATTACAATTCAATGATGTTGCCTCAATGGAAACTGTACACGATTTATACAGATACACCAGTCTTCTCAAAATTAAATGTGTTACAACTTTTTCAAAATTCAATGAAAATTTATTATCTTTGCAGAGGTATGAAAACATTATTTAACGCTTCTTTCTTTATTTATATGAAAAATAAATTTACATATAAAAGAATCAGAATTCTTGAAAGGAGCCATCTTAAACATTTTAATTTTTTTTTCGTTGTAATGTGGTTATTTTAATGGCATTTTATATAAAAAATGATAATACCAAAGGATTTTTCAAAAAAAATTTTTTTATTAATGTTATTAACTACACAGTCCTACAAAGCATCATGTCCGCCATATTGGATCCGCCATTTTGAATTTTCAAATACTGACTTCAGATTCGTATTTAGTGACCCCAAAACCCCCGAGTAACTCTTTTCAAAAAAATAGTGTATAGTTTTCTCCGAAAATAGTTTTACCTAATAAATTATTACATAATAAAGTAATTTATTGTTAAAAATTGTAGTGAAAATTTACCAAAATAATTCAATAAAAAAGTTTGGCTGCTTTCAGAAATATTGACTAAAAAATTAAACTTCTTATATTTTGTTGTTTACTTAGCCGCAACAGGAGACATTGTTTGTAATGGAAACGTTGATCCTGCCTTACAAGAGGTTAGAAAATTCAAATTATTCTTTAGTATTTTTTTAGTATTTTTTTTTAGTATTTCCAAATTTAATGATTTTTTTTCATTTCAAAGCTGAAGAAAAGGGCGTTTTAACCGTAACACGTTTCTTTTGTTATAATTAAAAAAAGCCGAAAAATTGAGAAAAAGTTCAAAAATTGTAAATTTTTAAAAGAATTCTACTAGAACTCAATTATTTAAATACAAAAATAAATAATTTACTGAATAATTGAATGTTTCTTAAAATTGAATTCTTATTAAGCATTTTATCAATAATATTTTAAATAATTGAATTCGTTCGACGAATTTTAATCAAATTTTTAAGAATAATTACATTTTTCGAGGAATTGGATTCAAATTGTATTCAAATTAATTTAAATTCTGCAATAAATATTATTATTTATGAAAATAATTGAATCTATGTAAAAAGTTTTATTATTTATGAAATGAATGAAATTTGTTAATTGATTGAATTATTTAAAAATTTGTACCATATGAAATTTTCTAAAAAATTTTTTTAAACAATTGAATGCTTGTGAAAAGTTTTATTAAGATAGTAGATATTAAAAATCACTGAATTCAGAAAAATTGTCAAGAAATTTACTAAAATTTTTGAAAATAATTAAATTTCTATGAAGAGTTTTATGAATATTTAAAAAAATAATTGAATTCCTGCTAAAAATGTTATTTTTTAAAAGAATTGAATTTTTGGGAAGAATTCTGTTATTTCTGAAAAGATAATTGAATACTCTCCAGGAACTTTATTTAATTAAAATTTTTGAAAGTAATTGAATTTCTGCGAAGAATTTTATTATTTATAATGATAACTGAATTCTTGCCAAGAATTGTATTAAATTTTTCAATAATAATTTAGCGAAAAAATGTAGAAAATAATTGAATTTCTGTGAACAATTTTGATATTTAGAATGATAATTGACTTCTTGGCAAAAATTGTATTACATTTTTTAAAAATAATGAATTTTGAATTTCTTCGAAGAATTTTGTAAAAAAAATTTTAAATAATTTAATTTCTACTAAGAATTTTATTTTTTTATGAAAATAATTGAATTCCTACCAAGAATTCTGTTATTTCTGAAAAGATAATTTAATTCTTTCCAAGAACTTTATTTGAAAAAGTTTTTAAAATAATAAATTTTGTTTCGAAGAATTTTATGGGAATTTTTGAAAATAATTGAATTGTCGAGAAGAATTTTATTATTTCTAAAAATAATTGAAATTTTGACGAGAATTTTTTTATAATATTTGAACATATGTAATTGAATTTCTGCGAAGAATTTGATTACTTTTGAAAATAATTAAATGAGCCCTGTGATTCCTATTATTTGTGATTAAAATATAATTGCTATATCGTTGTTTCAGGAACAAATAAGGAAACTGTTAATTGCTTGGAAAGAAAATTTAAATACCCTTCAGCTGGAACATTTGGATTATTCAGTTTTGAAAATAATTAAAACACTGCTTTTTAATTGCTGTTTTGCATTCACAGAAAACCAAAATTTACAAGTAGAAGATGCTTTGCATCAATATTTGCTTTCTCTTCTACAAAAGGTTGTTAGCAATCGTTCGTTTGATTTACAATTAGGATTAGTTTGTCTCTTTATGCTGCCCGAAAACAAAAGTTACAACTGGTTTCCCACTGAACTTGAATCGTAAGCGAAAATTCATTCACAATGTTGTTTTTTCTGCTGTGTTACTTGAAAAATTTATTAATCACTTATTTTATTCAGTTGCAATTATCAAACGTATTTTAATCGACATCGAATAATATCTCACCTGGGTTGGGAGTATTTCTATCTACTGAAGAATGACGTCCGAGAGAAGTACTATAGATATCGAATAATGCACTACTGGGCAAACAAGTTATTGCCATTTGGAATCTCATACAAAGGTTTTTCAAATTTACGTTGTATTTTACAAGTACAAAAAAAAATTTTTTTTAATATAATAAATAACAAATTTTACAGAAATGTTCAACAGCACCACTGAGAGTAGGCGTGAAATTTTACAGCGCATTATGTGTTCAAAAGTAGAATTTTCAATAGAATTTATTGAAGAATTTTGTCGTGATTTTAATTTTTATTTAAGCGATTGTTTGCTGTTGTATCTAAAAATATCATTAAAAAATTGGAGTCCAACAATTAATAAAATAACAGGTAAGTTAATTTGATTAATTAAATAAAAGTTTCTAATAATTAAATAATGTTAAATTTATTAAACGATTTGAATGTTTGTTTTGATTTTAAAGGATTACAAATTGACGACAATGAAGTTAAGAAACTGGAAACAACATGCAAAAATATTGTTGCTAGACTCGAAGATAAAAGCTGTTTAATGAAGCACATTTCACCAATAGAGTCTGAAGTAAATTTTACTAAAATTTTAGAAGTTCATTACAATTTATTAAGAATTGAACTAATTTAAAAAATACTTAATTTTTCTAGATCAACTGTTATTATTACGAAGTGTTTCTCATTATTATGGATCTTTTGGATAATAAAAATGCAGACAGAATGAATCTCTTCTATTTTTTGCAAAATTATACACGTGTTGGGTAAGAAAGTCATTTTAAATCCAATTCTAATACTTCAATTTATGAAAAAAGTATTGGAATAATAAAATCTGTAAAAATTAAAAATGTATATTCTTAGAGAGCCAACTCAATATGAGAAGGACCACTGGACTCAACTCAATCCGGAAAGCAGTAATTTGCCTTTGATAGCTAAATGGAGATTTCCGTTTTTACCAAATATTGATCAATGGAAATTAATTAGTAAGTTCTTTTATATTTAGCAAATAATAATAATAATAATTAACACAGCAAATTAATTTACAATAATCTTCTAAAAGTGTAACGCAATTGCCTCCTGTCGAGAAAAGGTTATTTCAAAGGTCAGTTCAACATAAATCTATCTCAGAAACAAGTACAAAATGAAGTTAACTTCTAAATTAATGGGACATTCTATGCTAAGCGAACAACTCAAAATTTTTAATGAAAAAAACTTTATTTTTAAATTTTGAATTAATGCAGGGTTGCCACGCTTTTGCTCATTTCAAATTTCCTGACATTTCCAGGTTTTCCAGGTTAAAAAACGGAATTTTTCCAAGTTTTTAAAAACTACTTCAAAAAAATTGAATTAAACTTTTTCAAAAAAAGTAAATCTTTACAATTTTTAGTTAAAAGTGTAAAAAATTCAAATATTCAAAGATTATAATTTGAAACCTTTTCAAAATTCAATTATTTCTAAAAATTCACGCCATAATAATTTCTCTCTAAATTTGAATTAGTAAAAATGTTCAAAAATTGGAATTAGTGAATGATTTTTTGCTTTTGAATTAATAAATTTGACTGTTAAATTAGTTTTTAAATTAGCAGAAACGTCTATTTATTAGTAAAATCTGCTAATTCAAAAGCAAAATGTCATTTAATAATTCAAATTAGAAAACATTTTTACTAACTCAAATTTACAGAGTTAAATATTCAATTATTATCTAGAATTTTAACTGAAATTCATATTTGAATCAATTATTATTAGAAAATTCTGCGAGAATTCAATTATTTAAATACAAAAATAAATAATTTATTGAAGAATTAAATGTTTTTTTTAAATTCAACTTTCATAAAGAATTTTATCAACAAATTTTTCAATAATTAATTTCTTTTGACGAATTTTAATATAATTTTTAAGAACAAAAATATTTTTTGAAGAAATTAAATTAAAATTGTATTAAAAATAATTGAATCTCTGTAAAAAATTTGATAGAATTGAGAAAAGTTTTTGAAAATGTAATTGAATTCCTGAGACAAATTTTTTAATATTTCTTTTTAAATACCTAATTAAATTTTTTTGTGAAATTTTATTGAAACAGTAAATATTGCAAATAATTGAATTTTGATAAATTACTGAAATCAATTAAATTGCTACGAAGAATTTTATTAAAATTATTTTGAAAAAAAATTGAATTCTTAATTCTTAAAAAGTATTTCATTAAAATTTTTGAAAATAATTAAATTCTTATTTAAGAAATTTAATTATAAATGTATTCACAATAATACTTAAATTCTAATAAATAAATTATAGGAAGGCTTTTTAAAATAATTGAATTCATTTGACGAATTTTAATAAAATTTTTAAGAATAATTACATTTTCGAGAAATTTCATTAAAATTAGTATTAAAAATAGTTGAAATTTGCGATGAGTTTTATTATTTATGAAAATAATTGAATTATTGCGAAGAAATTTATAAAGAATTTGTAAATATAATAGAATTCCTGTGAAATTTTTATTATTTAATTAATTCATTCTAAATTGAAATTTTAAAAAATTTCAAATTACAACCTTTTGAAGTTTATCTATTTATGAAAATTGTAAATGCAACTCTTTTGAAATTCAATTAATTTTGAAATATTTAGAAAAAACTAGATTTTAAGAATAAGCACAATAACTTTAGAAAAGAATAATTTTCCAAGATTCCGAACAAAATTCTCTGACTTTTCCATGTTTTTTCAAGGTTTATAAAATTCCCTGAAATTTAGGTTTTAGATTTAGATTTTAGATTTTAGATTTTTTTTTTATTTTTAGATTTAGATTTCTTGGTTGCGTAACAATCCTGTTAATGTTAAATTAACGACTCCAAAAATCCCTGAGTACTTAATTTCAAGCGAATTCAATTATATTTTGAATCGTGGTTAAGGGGGTAAACTATATTAAATTACCTATGGTGTCAAGAAGCCATGTTATAATCTTATTCAAAGAAAACCCTATAAATGATGAATTTCAGAATATTAAATGTCATTATATTTTATTTTTTCATGTGAATTTATGAAAATTTGATTAACTTTTAGAACCTGAACTTAATTTAAAGACCTACAATAAGTGGCTGGAAATCGCTCCCGTTTTAAACCTGCAAAGCGATCTCATTTGTACATTAGCGGTTAAAGGATCTGCCACTCAAATTTGGAATAATCACAGGTCTGAAAATAATTCCGAATGGTCTCTCTATCCAAAGCATAGTGCTCTGCTGAAAGAAATGAAGGAGTGTATTAATTTAATGACAGGAGATAAATCTTTGGAGTATGCAACGGCAGCGATGTATTATGTTGCCAATCGCACACCTCCAGGCGCCGATCAAGTTGCTGCCGCCCAAGAATGCTACAAATTGGCAGAGTTGTGGCAGATAAATTGTAGTGTCCGAGTCGACGACACCACCGCCATTTGGAGTGGACAAGAATTGGTCACTGTGAGAACAATTCAACAACTTTTCAGAATTTCTTTAAAAGAAAATAAATTTTACAAAAATATTACAGTTGATAGAAGTGGCGACATTAATGAATTAATGATATAATAATGATTTCAGAAAATTAAAGACAAATATCATCAATTCACTTCGAAACATATTCTGTATACTCATGGATTAGGACAGGAGCGTTATTTGAATTTGATCTTGTATCCAGAGAAATTAATTCGCGAAATTTATATGAACGAAAGCATTCCTCTAAGGTATAAAGCTGCTATTGCAAATAGACCTGATATTAATTCTGCCGCAGATTCTTTAGGGAAACTTTTTAATCTGAATATGGTGAAGCTCCTCTCTGATTTGCTGTTGGAATGGCTGCAGCCTGACATGAAGGACACGAGAATGAATGACAGTGCTACAGAAATATTTAGTGTAAAGTCTCTAAGTAGGGATGCTCAATCCACCGCAGACGATAACTTATTAAGGTACCTACACATTAATAGAACACACACTGTAGCCCTATTGGATACAATTGAAAATACCAAATACAAGCTTCCTACTCAATAATTAATTTCAAAAAATTAAAAATTTGTAGTTTTAAAACTGACAAAGTAGCTATCGAAAATTTAAATTTGACGACTAAAGAACTCGTTTTAGTCCATTCACAAAAAACACTAAAATTTGATTTAAAATAAAAAAAATTCACTTTCTTTTTTATTAATGTTAATGTGACACATTAACAAAGTTATCCATTTGTTGATTTAGATTATTTAAACAATAAGATAAAAATCGAACAAATACTGAAAGTTTCATCCCTTTTTCTAGATTAAATTTAATAAAATAAAATTGAACATCTTTTATAGAGCCTCTTATATTCTCAACCGTGATGATGCCGTGATGCCAGCCACTTTCTTGGCAAATATTTCGTTCAATGAGCAGAATAAGGATTTTCGACCTGGAGTTCGTTATCGTGCCTTGCAAGTTTTGCAGACTATCACAGACACGAGCTCTTTGGAAAAGTTAACTCAACGAGACATAATAAGCATCAGGTAGAAGTTTTGTAATTTTTTATAATTTACAATTTGTAATTTCTGATATTAATACCTATGTGTTTTCGTAGGAAACACATGATGTCTCTGAACTACTTAAACGAATTAGAGAACTTAGGTTTGAGGTACAGTGTCAGCAGTTTCGAGAACTGTTCAAAACACGAACTTGTACAGATATTGCTGACCACCCAGTTTCATTCGCCATTAGTACTTTCTCTAATTTTACGCATTTGCTTAGATTATAATGTAGAAGAATATCATCTGTGGAATACTACTTTGAATCAAATGGCCAAGCTGTTAATGGTGAGATTTTGACAAAATTAATTTTATCTAATAATTAAAGGGACTTTCTGGTGCAGAATTCTGCTGTACAAAGTTAAAACTCGGAAAAAACATTTTCCAGAAGGTCGTGTTTTGTTTATAATCTAAGTGAACTTCGACCAACGATATGGAAAATGTGGTTAATAGGTTTTTACATTGGATAGCATATAACCAATTTAAGTCAAATAAAAGAATATTTTACAGTCAGTCCCCGCAACCTGCACATATTGCAGAATTTTTTTTATTTTACTTAAAACTATAAATTAAATTTTTCATAACTATAAAATATGAAGATATCGATAACTCCGAGTCGAAGACTCGGAGTGATCGGTTTCTTCATGTTTTATAATAATTAAGGATGACCGAGTGATAAAATCATTATTTTACATTATAAGAATACAGTAAATCCCCGCAACCTGCACGTATTGCAGAATTTTTCCTTTTCCCCGAACTCGCTACCTGACCCTCCATTCAGCCGCTCTCCCACCACTTTCAGGGATGTATACACCCTTGTATCGCATACAATTGTAGGCGCCCGCACTGAGAAAACGATACTTCTAATTTGCAACATAATATGTTTAATTCAATATCTTTGTTATACAGTCAAACATATTTAAGTTTAATTCAAACATATTTTTTAGTTGATAAAATATAATTCATTTAAACATAAATTTTGTTTGGTACAAAACTGTTATGTACTTAAACGTATTTTATGTTTATTTCAAATATAATTTTTTTAAATGAAACAAATCATATACAAGCAAACAATATTTTTAAATACACTGGGGTCAAAAAGTTTCAGTACATTTGTACTGATTACTGTTAAGTGCTCGCTTCACTTAAAATTCAAATATTTCTGTAAAAATAGATGTAAGAGCTATCAAAGTAGGATCATTTTAAAGTTCAATAAATTTAGAGTCAAATAGGCTAAGATATAACCAATTTAATAGTGTAAATATTAAAAATATAATTCTTTAAAGTCAGAGATTTTTTGTGAAAATTGCGATTTTCAAATCTGGAATTCAAGCGTATTCAAATTGAAGAAAATTTTTTTTAAGTTTTGATAGTTGCACAATAAAAAGTACAAATTTAATTCTTTAATTCTAGACCAAAATCATTCACATATATTAAGTATTTTCTTCAAAATCTATAAAAATAATATCTCTTGCTCTAAATTTTTCGAAGAATATAAATTGCAAATTCGTCGTTTTCATTTACTTGTTCTATCAAATAACCACACTTTTGAAAAATATAGAACCTCTTCATCTTAGGAAATTTAAGATATTTACATGAAATTTATCCCTCTTCTTATAGTTTTATAAATTTTAACTCTATCATTATTTATTAATTTTAATATACCTTATGTAAAATATATGTATCAAATGAGTAATTGATAAGACGGATAACCATATTATAAGGTTTTAAATTTAGTTGTGTAATAAGTTATCTTGACGTTTTGAATACAAGTTTTCACCTTTTTTTTATACAATTCATTTATAAAAATGTTACATATACAATTGTTGATAACTTTTCACAATACATAGTCATATTCAGTCACTTGTTATTACTATCATTTGAAATAGGTAAATTTTTTAAAGTTGATAACACATCTTTTGAAATTTCGTCAAATTTTTGTAGTTGAATCATATGTTCTGATTTGCATTCCCGCTTTTGTTCAAACCACTTTTTAAAAAGCTTGAACCCATTGTAGGCTGTTGTAGCGTCTGTCACTACATTTTCTACATAACCTCTTTCATCGATAATTTCATCATCTTCTCCATCAGTTTCTGTACTTTTTGCTTGTTGATTTTCTTCACTGATTTCGTGACCAAGGAACCTGCAATTTAAAAAGAAAGTAATTATGCTCATTAATTTGGTTAAAAATTGATATTTATGAATAATTAATAATTTAATGGAAATCTGAAATAAACCTTTGAATAATTTGATGCAGATTTTCAACATTCCAACCAGGTTCAAATCTATCCACTTGTGACCATGTTTGCACTTCCTCTCGTGTGATATTTTCAAATCCTGGTATTCTATACAAAAGTTGCATAATATCGTCTTCACTTATTTCTTTGCAATTAGCAATCTCAATATCGCAGCTAGGTATTATCTTTCTCCATGCGCGACAAATGTTTATGGGTGTTACATCTGACCAGGCACTCGATATTTGAACGCAACAGCTAAGCATATTCCTTTGTTTAAGAAATTCTATGAGACTTTCTGTATTTTCTTCAAGAAGCATATCCCTTAAAAGACTTTTTCTATACAGATGCTTCATTTTTTCTATTACTCCCTGATCCATTGGTTGGATTAGGGCCGTCACATTAGCAGGAAGATTTTGTACCTGTAATAAAGTATTTAATTTATTATTAATAAATACAAAATAAATAGTGATGTACTATGTAATACAGCAATTTAAACAATGAATATATGTACTTACAATAATCATATCATCAATTAACTCTGTTTCTTCTTTAGATAAATGACAACGTGCATTATCTACTAAAAGCAACACTTTTTGGTTGCCATTTCCTTTAGTTGCTTGAAACTCTCGAACAGAAGGCAAAAACACCATCTTAATCCATTCTGTGTACAATTTGCGAGACATCCAAGCATTTTTTTGGCCAGCATATGTCACTGGTAATTTATTAATCCCCTTAAAGCAGGGTGGGTTCTTTGATTTTCCAATTACATACAGAGGAATTTTGTGACTACCATCAGCATTGGCACAAACCATAACAGTTACACGATCTTTTGAAACTTTATAACCTGCAGCACTTTTTTCAAAATCGGAGACAAAAGTCACAGAAGGTAGCATTCTCCAAAAAATACCTGTTTCATCTGCATTATAAATTTGATGCAGCTGCAAATTTTCTTTTCTAATTATTGCTGCCAGTTCGTCCACAAATTCTACTGAACATTCATAATCATTGGATAATTTTTCTCCTTGAATGCTACACGAGTGAATTTGAAATCTTTCTTTAAATCTATAAAACCATCCGTTACTCGCCTTAAATGTAGGGTCACCATTAATATTTTTGTTTATTATTAGAGCTTTCTCTTTCAAAATTGCTAATGAAACTGGTTGGCCTGCAGATAGTTTTGCTTTAAACCAATCATAGAGAATATCTTCTAAAACAGGATTTTTGGAAGTAGTTACTCTCTTACGTTTATATAGATAAGAACTTTTATCTATTTTTACGAATGGTTCCTCTCTATTTCTACTCATACTTCTCAGGCGTCGTATTGTTGAAACAGAAACATTATATCTTTTAGCCAGTTCAGGAATGCCAATTTTAACATCAGAAGCTTCATTATACTTGAAAAGTTCTATAATTTCTTGACGCTGACCAAAAGTGAGGAATGTCAATGTCGCTTGCTTTTCTCCCATTTTAAACCAATGCTGCTTCTGAAAAATGATTCATAAGCATTTTGTAATGAGCTGACACTTAATGCGTTTCTAATGAGTCGCTATGTATTATTAAGCTATTTGACACTGCGAGACGCATGCTTATTCCCGAAATCTTTTTTAACCAAATAGTTATTTGATATAAAACTACTTAACTTAAAATTCACATAATATGCACATTATTCGACATAAATTTCATTGCACACAAAAACCATTTAACATAAATATCATTTGTCATAGAATTCATTAAACAGAAATAATATTTTACATAAAACTCAGATAACTTAATTCCCATTTGACATAAAAATTATGTAATACATAAATTTCTATTGACATAAAAATCATTTAACATATATTTCTTTTGACATAAAACTCATTTAACGTAAATTTTATTTGTTATAAAATTCATTTGACATCAATTTCATTTGGCATAAATGTCATTTAACGTAATTCTCATTTGACATAAATATTATTAGACATAAAATTAGCTTGACATAAATTTCATTTGACGTGAATATCATTTAACATAATTATTATTTAACGTAAAATGAAATTTATATAAATTTCATTTAGCATAAATACCATTTAACATAATTCTCATTTGACATAAAATTTACTTGACATAAATTTAATTTGGTATAAATCTCATTTAACATAATTCTCATTTGACATAAAATTCAGATGTCATAGATTACATTTTATATAAAGATCATTTGACATAGAAATATAGGCGCGAATTTCAAAATTGGCGAATCACAATGTTGTTGATAATATCTAATTGGTTACTTTTAAAATTGGTGCCAATATTTTTATGTAAAATGTAATTTGTGTAAAATGATTTTTATGTCAAATGAGAATTTTGTTGAATGACTTTTATGACAAATGAGAATTGTGTTAAATGTCTTTTATGTCAAATGAGAATTTTGTTGAATGACTTTTATGACAAATGAGAATTGTGTTAAATGTCTTTTATGTCAAATGAACTTTGTGTCAAATGAAAATTATGTTAAATGGGATTTATACCAAATGAAATTTATGTCAAGTAAATTTTATGTCAAATGGCATTTATGGTAAATGAAATTTATATAAATTTAATTTTACTTTAAATAATAATTATGTTAAATGATATTCACGTCAAATGAAATTTATGTCAAGCTAATTTTATGTCTAATGATATTTATGTCAAATGAGAATTACGTTAAATGACATTTATGCCAAATGAAATTGATGTCAATTGAATTTATAACAAATAAAATTTACGTAAAATGAGTTTTATGTCAAAAGAAATTTATGTTAAATGATATTTATGTCAATAGAAATTTATGTTACATCATTTTTATGTTAAATGGGAATTAAGTTATCTGAGTTTTATGTAATATATTATTTCTGTTTAATGAATTCTATGACAAATGATATTTATGTTAAATGGTTTTTGTGTGCAATGAAATTTATGTCGAAATAATGTGCATATTATGTGAATTTTAGGTTAAGTAGTTTTATATCAAATAACTATTTGGTCAAAAAAGATTTCGGGAATAAGCATGCGTCTCGACACTGCTCTCTAAATTATAATTTTTACTTTGCAGTTAAATATTCTTATTTCACAAGAGGTAATTTTTAAAGTTTTTTATTTACACAGTAAAAAGTAAATCTTAATTTAAGATCGGTCTTAAATTCAGCACTGTCTGCTATAATGTTAAAGGATACAAAATATGTGCGTAAATTCAGCATTGACTGCCTTAAAAATGTTGCATCTTAATTTAAGGCTGCTTTCCTGCCTTAAAATAAGACTTTCTTTTTACTGTGTATTTTGTATTATTCAACGCAACAATAAACAAAATACTTTCCACAGACAGAATATTTGAAAATACACAAATATGTACATACGCAAGTAGTACAAAATCAGCAAAAATACTTATTTTCGAATAATTATAAAACTTTATTTACTAAAAATTTTAAATAAATTTTATTTATTGAAAATAAGTCTTATAATGCTTTAAATGCAGAACAAAAATTATTTAAAGAACCTTTAAGGAAAAGTCATTTCCATAGCACAATTCACTTCATTATTATATAGTTTACAATATTTAAATTTGAATAAAAATTGCCATGAAAATATAATAAGTCGAATAATGATAATAATAAAATAGTATTAAATAAATAATATATACTTACAATAATAAATATTCCAGTTTCAACAAAAAATTCAATTTTTTAAATTAATTTGTGGCACAACAAAAATTTTTAGTCATCAAGAGAAACTTATGTACTGAGACACTTTTCGGCACTGAGCACGCGGTAAAAGTGAAAGTGAGTGTATGGTCACATAGCGAGTTTGGTCTATGTCGTCAGAGCGTCAGGTTTCGGGGATGTGCAGGTTGCGAGTTGTGCAGGTAGCGGGGACTGACTATACTAGCGAAATTATCCGCGCGCAATTTTAAATTTGACATCAGATTTTCAAAATTGAAAATAATTAAACTTTCTTGTACGAGAAAAATTGAATTTCGTAAAAATTGTTATCTGATACCTAAATTGAAAATAATCGTCATTTCAAAAATTTTAATTATTCTGAAGAATAGAGAAGGTAAAAAAATTATTATATATTCAACTTTCTAAACAAAGAATATAAATAATATTTTTTTTAGAGAATTTCCACTTCCAATAAAATTTCGAAAAAATCATTTATTTAACAAAATTTTATGCAATTTATTTTTCACAATAATTCAATTACTTTCACTGATAATAAAATTTTTCATGAAAATTCAATTTTTAAAAAAAATTGTTGATTAAATTTTAAGCAAGAAATCAATTATTTTTATAAATAATAAAACTCATCGAACAATTTCACAAGAATTCAATTATTTAAAAAACTTTTAATAAAATTTAATTCAAAAATTCAATTATTTTCATAAATAATGAAATTTTCGCTTAAATTAAATTATTTTAAATAAAATTTTAATTGAATTGCAGGGAAAATTAAATTATTTTTAAACATTTTTTTAAAAATTCTTCGTAAGAATTCAATAATATCAATAAATAGTAAATTTTTCACAGGAATTCAATTATTTTAAATATAATTTTAATAAAATTCATCTCAAAAATTTTCTTATTTTTTTAAATTTGGCAAAAATTCAATTCCTTGTAGAAATAATAAATTTTTTCTCAGGAATTCAATTATTTAAAAAAGTTTTATTAAAATTCTATTCAAGAATTCAATTATTTTAAGAAATAATTAAATTTTCTATTTACTGAAAATCAATGAATTCTTGGAAAGTATTTAGAAAAAAATTTTGAAAATAATTGAATTCATTTCAAGAATTTTATAAACATTAAAAATGTAATTAAAATTGTATTGAAAATAATTTAATTTTTGACAAAATTTTTATTAAAATTCTTTATAATAATTGATTTTTAAGAAGCATTTATTTTAAGTTTAAAAAATAATCGTGTTTTATTATTTAAAAATTTTTATGTGGAATTTTCTCAAAAATTTTGTTTTAAACAATTTAATGATTGTGGAAAGTTTTATTGAAATAGTAGATATTAAAAATCACTGAATTCAGAAAAAGTTTTAATGAAAATTAAATTTCTGTGAAGAATTTTACCAAAATTTAAAAAAATTGAGTTCGTTACAAAAATGTTGTTATTTTCTTAAAGAATTGAATTTTTAGAAAGAATTTTATGAAAATTTTAAAAATAATTAAATTCCTGCTAGAAATGTTATTTTTTAAAAGAATTAATTTTTTGGGAAGAATTCTGTTACTTCTGAAAAGATAATGAATTCTTTCAAAAAACTTTATTTGAAAGTTTTGAAAATAATTGAATTTCTGCGAAAAATTTTATAAAATTTTTTAAAATAATTGAAAATTTCTGATAAGAAATTTGTTATTTATCAAAATAATTGAATTTCTGCGAAGAATTTTGTGTTTTATGAAAATAATTGAATTCTTACCAAGAATTTTATTATTTATAAAGATAATTGAATTTTTGTCAAAAACTTTATTAAAAGTTTTGAAAATAATAAAATTTTTGCGAAAAATTTTATGGTAATTTTTGAAAATAATTGAATTGCGGAGAAGAATTTTATTATTTATATTTAGAGTTATTTGAAATTTTGGCGAGAATTTTTTTTAAATATTTGAACATAATTGAATTTCTGCGAAGAATTATTTTATAAAATTTTTGAAAATAATTGAATTTCTGCAACCATTTGTAATTTATTCAAAATTCTCCGAATTATATCGTACAATTTATGAACTTTTCGTACATTATTTAATAATAGTAAAAAATATTAATTTTCAGGTGAAAGAATTAGAAACGTTTTTGCCAATGGTTGCTACATTAAGTTACGTAACTAATTGCACTGGATACATATCCGGATGGCAAGTTGTGATATCCGATACTTTCCGAAAAATAGATGTTAATCCAACTTTCAAGCAAATTGAAGATTGCATAAGGATTTTAAGACTCCTCCACTCATGTCCCGTTGTAAATAAGCTGAACTTCGACGACGTAATACAGTATTGTTTCGATTCAAATCAAGCACAATTCGCAGTGATACTGTTACCATTTTTAAATGATGATCAAAAGAACAATGTTTTGAAGGTAATAAACAAATACATATAAATAATTGTTCTGAATAATTTTTATTAAAAGAAAAATTCTATTTTCAGGTTATTAAGACATCGTTCGATGTGGAACAGATAATCAGTAATCTACAATTATTGTCCAAAAAAGGTGTTCTTGCAGTTTCATACGTAAGATATTCTTACTATTTTAATCTCCGTGTATTTTTCCGTAAAAGCATCGAAATATTTTTAATAAAATACATATTCATTTTCTTTCAGTCAATACATGTCTTACGGGAAGTAACGAAATCTCCAAGCAATTAAATTATGTAGATTATTGTAAAAATAATTTTATTTTTTCATTAGTGGTACAACATTTTTTTATTATAAAATAATTTTATACTTTTATAATAAAATGTTTATAACAAATAAATTTAAAAAAATTATCTATAATCTTCAACTAATAATGATTTATCCCTAACAAATGACACCTTGAAACCATTTTGCAATATACTTGTTTTTATAATTTTCACTCGGCTCACAATTATGAAATTTTGGTTATCTGGACTTACATCAACAAATACGTCAATTTCATCTTCATCGTTAACCTTTAACAAAAAAGTTATGTATTTAAAATTTTTCACTGCCTTGATTTCAATGTAGGGTAAAGTGTACGAATTACTGCGCGATTCCAATCGAAACAGAATTAGTACACTTACCCTAATTTTTAATGTTATGAAGAATGATATTTACATCTATACTTTTTTTCGTAACCTTATTTCCATTTAAACGAATTTTACTTTCATAAAAATCGGTATCTATTTTACTGAAATAAAAAAAGAAATTTTAGAAAGTTGGTTGATTAAAAATAGAGGTGGCATCACACATCCTCCTAGATTGAATATTTTTAATTGAATTCTTGCGAACGATTTTATTAGAATTTTTTAAACTAATTGAATTATTTCAAAAAAATTTAATTAAAATTGTATTTAAAATAATTGATTTCTTTCGGACAATTTTATTAAAATATTTAAAAATAATTGAATTCCTTTGAAAAATTCTAATATTTTAGTAAATAATTAAATTCTTTCAAAGAATTTAAAAATAACATTTTTTAAAATAATTGAGTTATTCGAGGAATTGAAATTAAATTTTTAAGAATAATTACAATTTTTTAGCAATTCCTGTAAAATTGTATTAAAAATAATTGAAATCCTGCGATGAATTTTAATATTTATGAAAATAATTGAATTGTTCCTATGAATTTTATTAAAATTTTCAAAAATAATTGAATTTCTTAGAAGAATTTTGTTATTTATGAAAATAATTAAATTATTATTGCGAATTCTTCGATTAATTAATTTAAAATAGTATTAAAAATAATCGAAATTCTTCGATGAGTTTTATTATTTATGAAAATAATTGAATTTTTGCATAGAATTTTGTTAATTTTTTTTAAATAATTGAATTTCCATGAAGAATATTATTATCAGTAAAAGTATTTAAAATATTGTGAAGAATTATATGAAAATTTTGTTAAATAATTGATTTTTTCGAAATTTTTTTGATTCATTATAAAAAAAAAATGATAAGTTATGTAATTAAGAAATAAAATGTTTCAAAATGAAATAATTACTTGCGTCCTATGCCCAGGCATGATTTAAGAACAGTATCTAAGCGTAAAGAAGGAACTGTTCTATTATGAAGTTTTTCATAAGATTCAACTTGAGAGGACAGATTATCAACGTCGGTATCAACTTCATTAGGTTCATTGACCTGTGCAACAGAAAGGTATACAAGAAAATATTAGTTTTTCAATTTTAAAAATTTGCAGCAACAAATAAATATTTAAAAATATATATATTATTATTATTTTTGTATACTTGTCAAAATTTTCGAGTGATGAATATTATGCTATGAAAAACCCGATGAGTTTTAAAAAATAAAAATTAAGATTTATTAAAAAATATAAATTAATTAGAAATTTTTGTAAACTTAACTTTGATTAAAAATATTTACAAAATTTACATAATAGATGAAGTAGGTAACAAAATTTAAAAAGAGTGTAAAAAGTTTAAAGGCTAAAAAGCAAAAGTGACAGTTAAAAAGATTAATAATAAGCAGAATGTATGTACTCTTCATTTTTAAAACACTGAATGAATATAAGTATTATAACCTTTTAACAAAATTATATAATTTCCTATTTCTCGAATATTAAAATTCATTTGTTAACAAATGAATTAAATTCTGACATTGATGTAAATAAAGCATAATAAATTCGGGTCTAACCTACAACAAATTTGGTGAAAAACATTATAAGTTACGTATGACAAACCATTACCTGTTCAAACTTGTTCTTCTTGTGTTTTAATTTTTTCTGTACATATAGGTTAGGAGTTTGTTTATTTAATAAATATATAGGTTTAATACATTCTCTTATTATGAAATTACTTTCCAATGAGGAGAAAGATTTTATAAAAATACTGTAAACATTTTTTTGGAAACAAGTATACAAAACTTTTTTTGCAAGCATTGTATACTTAATTTTAGTTTTATCCTTATCCTTTTTTCCTTATTTATTTTTTTTTTACTAAAAACATTTGAGCGACAAGTCTCGAATTAAAGAATTTCGACTCTCGAAATAACTCGAATGGTCAAATCTCAAATAGTCACACCACCAGCCAGGGTATCTGGGGCCGTATTCTCGAAAGCATTCGACAATTCTCGCATGCGTAAAATGTCGAATGGTTAATGTCGCATGCGACTCTGAAAGTCTATTCTCAATGACCGTTCGAGATAGGTTGTTCGAAAATTTCCGTGTGCGACATTCATACATTGTTGCCGTCGTTTCCAAATACTTATCTGCCAATCATAATTGAGGAGGAAGAGAACTTGACATATGAGAAAAATACAAATAGTTATCCGTTCATTTAAATATTTCAAAATCAATTCAATTTTGCGTTTACAATTTTTATAAACAAATTAACTTTAAGCGGTTTCAGTTTGAAATTTTATAAAATTTTAATTTTGAATGAATTTAATTTAAACTTTTGATAATTCAAATTCTTTTGAAATTAGTTATATTTGGCAATATATATTTAATTAATTATTAAAAATAATGAATTTATAGAAGAATTTTAGTTAAAAACACTAAATACATTGAATTTTGTAGACGTACGTTACAAAATGATTACAAAAATTTAATTATTTTTAAATGTAATAAAATAATGAAAAAATAATAACAATCAAATATTTATTTAAATAGAAGTTACTGATATTATTACGAATAATTTTATAATTAAAGAAATTCGTAAATAAATGTAACAACATTTTTTTTATATTAAAGTTTTAATATTAGCATTTGTAAATTGAGAATTTTTTACAAAAATGTTAAGAAACTGGAATATGTAATATTTTTTTTTTAAAGAAAAGAATCAGTTTGTGAACAATATTGTTATTGAAAAATTAAAATTATGCATAATAAAGGGATATATCCCTTTATATTATGCATAATTTTAATTAATAAATATATATATTTCCTATTTTTGCAAAAAGAAAATTTATTTGTTAATCAAAATTTTTTGTAATTTTATAATTTTAAATTTTATTTTATTTTAAATCTTAAAAAAGAGCATACTTTCAATTTGTGAAACAATATTTTGTAAAGAAAAAAACAAAAGCATACACAAAAACTAACTTTAAAGTGTGAACAGACAGAAAAAATGAAACGAAGATTAAAAAATTAAAAAAAATAAAAAATAAAATAAATATATTGTTAACATGATTCATTCACAAAAATAACACAAACATGTGCAATTTATCCATTATAAATTTTGCATATTATAAATTATTTACATTAAACTTTTATTTCACAAGTTTACTTTTAATTCTTAAACATTACATTTAGGTTATTTTGTATAGTTTTTCTACTTTAGCATGCGGTTCATGTACACTAATACTACTTTATATTATATACGTTTATTACAAGGATGACACACAACCTTATTTTTTACTAGCATTTCGTATACGACTTTGCATCTCGAATGGCCACTACCCACTCGAGATGAACCATTCGGAAATTATCGCATACGACATGAAATCTCGCATGCGACAAGCGTTCGAGAATAGCTTTTTCCATCTCGAATGGTCTGTCGCATGCGACATCTAGGGTCATCGATTCGAGAATACGGCCCCTGAGTTTTGTCGCAGTAAAATTTAAAGTTTAAGGGTGCGATCCCATGTGAGCAGAATACGTCGACCGAAAGCAGAAAATTATGAGAGTGAAAAGAACAACAATATCTACCTATCTCTTTTGCACTCATGATTTTCTGCTTTCGGTCGACGTATTCTGCTCACATGGGATTGCACCCTTAGGCCGCAGTCCCATGGCAGCGTTTTGCGTTGCGTTGTAATGAGAGAGAATGCATCAAACGTATATTTGCGTCTTTTTCTTTCCCATTACGACGCAACGCAAAACGCTGTCATGGGACTCCACCCTTAAAGTTTATAAAGTAGATAAAGTAGAATAAAGTTTTCTACAGTAAAATACATATGTATAATTCAATATTATACTTAAAATACTGTATTACACTTCTTTCTACGCCTAGAAAATCTACTTTCTACTGTATCAAGGCCAACTCAGAATGAATACGGATACGGGAACAGGGCATGAGAAAGAAAAAGACACAGACAGCTTCTGTCATTTTCTTTTGCATGCCCTGTTCCCTTATCCGTATTCATTCTGCGTTGGCCCTTATACGTGTAGAAAACCATGTATAATACGTTATGTATTATACTTACCCATCTCTGTGTGCCACTGTGTGAGTAACCTTAAAGCTGCTTCTACAACAACTTTTTTTTCATCGACATGAACGTGAAAAAAAAGTTGTTGTAGAAGCAGCTTAATCGGCTGTTCCAGGTGTTCCAGTGAGGCCGCAGTTCCATGGCAGCGTTTTGCGTTGCGTCGTAATGGGAGAGAAAAAGATGCAAATATACGTTTGCTGCATTCTCTCCCATTACGACGCAACGCAAAACGCTGTTATGGGACTCCACCCTAAAAGGCTGTTCCAGTGAAAGGTTCCTTTGAACATGCCGTACTTAACGGATCCAACGGAATTTAATTCTCGAGACAACCAATTACCTAGCAATACTCATCGTCACTCCAACAATTGCTGATACCACACGGAGAGAAAGATCAAGCGTTTGTAGTATGGAGACTTCCTATGCTAATTTTGTATGAACGTCCTGCTAAAGAGGCATGTTTTTATACCTCAGTTGCATGAAACATATACTAAAAAAGCATGGATCTCTTGCAATCGTAGTATACTGACATCCCATGCGTTACAGGTAGAACTTTTATGCTGATAACGTAGAAATTTATACAAATACAGCAGAAGTTTTACGCATATTGCGCATGTGCATTCTTTTACGAAATAAGCTTAACTGTCCATACTACAAACGCTTGATTTTTCTCTCCGTGCATACTTGAGAAATTAACCGACTTAATTCGGATGGAAATTAAAACACCTACGAGGATAACATTAAAATAAGAAATCTACGGATAAATTCGCTTAAATACTTATTTAACAGTACTGGCTATTTGTTTATACAAGAGGCCATTAAAACAAAAGAAGAAGAAGAAGAACATGCCGTACTTAGAAGAGCGAAGAATAATTCCAGCTGCGATGTTTTTGTTTAAGATTTTGCACAAATATTTTGAGGTACCGTATTTGTTAAGTAAAATAAATATCAGGGTCCCACGTCTGTCATCTACACAAAACACGCCATTTATTTAAAGAATTTTCCATCACTTATAATTTTTAATGCACTTATTTTCTTTGCCTGTTATCATGTAAATCAAATGTATTCTGTTCTTAAACCTGATATAGACATTTTTAACACATCACAGACGAAATTTCTTGGATGTCTTAACAAATATATTTTGTCATGCCGACCATAAAAATTTAGTTTATTTATCTGCGTTAAATTTAAGTAGGGGAGAGTCAGTACGGTCGGGCTACCTCGGATTTCTTAGTTGTCACAAACTATGGCGCCATTTACCATTGCATGTAAATATACTTGTTAGTGATGGTAGAAAACTTTTCAAGTCACTTTCATTAAGTTCCATTGAAGTACGCGAGCAGTACAAACGTGAAACGTAAATGTGTGGTGAATTTTGAAACAAAAGAAGTTGCAAACAATAAAGTAAGTTGATGAAATTTATTCATTAGGGAGTGCTTTAATACTTTGGTATGTTATTTGGTTTTTATATCGTGCGTTTATATCTGTGTGCTAAAAAAAGCAAAACGACGCGATTTTTCTTGAATTTTTAGACCAACTTCGAGAAGAAAAAGGAAAGCTAACCCGCGGAAATCTTGATTTTTTTTCCAACGTAATACAAGTAATTTACTAATAGTCAAATATTAATTGTTTTATACGATTAATAAAATAAAAAATTGATAAAGAGTAATTTTTATATGAATTTTATATTTCCTTTTCCCATTTTCAAGTGGATTTCAGCATTCTTCTTTAATTTACGGGCCATTTTTAGTAATATTCCTTCATATCACATTGATTTTCTACGGTGTGGCCCACATTTACAACAAAACATAACGACATTTTTTTTAAATGTTTATAACTTTTCCAATTTTTGTCCACACATTTTCTGATGTAAACATTCCACTTTAGAAGTGGCCCGACCGTACTGACTCTCCCCTATATTTTATAACTATTTTGTTACCTATTTATGATTCAACGACTGGACTGCGGGGATTGTAAAATAAATAAATGCCGCGTGTAACCACTTTTTAATTATATCGGTTTCAAACGCATTTTTATGGCACTTTTAATATTAAAAACGGTTTTTTCAAGAAAATAGTGTCGTATAATCTTAAAGTATTTATTACATTTGAAACAAACCTACCGTTAACAAAGTTAAATATTTGACAAACATTAATTTTTTTTAGAAACTTGATTGTCTAGTGATACAATTGAATGTTTTATATGGTCTCGTTTAACTATCCTCAAACAATGTGAGAGAATTCATCTTCGAGTAAATAGTTTATTTTAGAAGACAACACTGTCAAATAAAAATTGTACTTTATTCAAAAATAAATATTTAATTATAAAATAATGTATATTTTGTAGGAACATGGACAAAATTAAGAGCTAGTCAAATTGGTGACTTTAGAATAGTTTCTTAACCAGGATATTAACTGAATAGCATAAATTAAGGCTCCAAATTCATATCATATGAAGGTGAATTCCTTGATAAATGAATTGCGCTGTTATTAGATTTAAAATATGAAATTGTAATTGCACAACATTTTTTTAATAGCGAAGATACCTTTAGGGCAAAGTGGGATGGACAGAACGGGAAGAGTACTTATGACTCTTTAATATACTGAAATAATCAGATATATAATTTTTTAAATGAATTATAGTATAACATGCGTCAATAATAGTTCAATGTGGTGTGAAGGTCATACCTGGAATAACACACATTCCATATCCAAACTACCAACATCTGACGAATACCCTGAAGATCAATACTGACTCCCCGTTCTGCCCTGCCCCCGGGGCAAATTGGAAAGAATTTACCTTTTTTGCCCCATGTTCCCCAACTCTGCTTTGTAGACGATAAATTCAAGTTTTCATTAGAAATAAATAAAAACTGTTTCTTAGTCATTAAAGTTCTTAATTTATTTCATCTTCACTATATCCGAAAGTCACTATTATTTCCAATGCCCAAAATTGGCAAGAACCTCGGCAAGAACATCGAAAACATTAATTCTTTTCTATTCTAAAATGTAACTTCTATTCCATAAGGAATATTATATATTTTACATTTTTAGTTCAACAAATTTCAATAGATAAAGTAAGAATTAAATAATTATCAAATCGAAGAAGGCAATAAAAAATACTTCTCATCATTTGCCTTTTAGAGAGAACCAACATAAGTGACGTGTTACGAAGAAAGAGAAGCAAGTAGCAAAGAATTATAACTAAAGTTTTGTATATTTCAAGTAAAAATGCTTTAAAAAATCTTTTAATGCAAAACAATGTTTAACTCCTCATTACATCTAAAATATACAATAAAAATTATTTTTATTTTGCAAAATTAAAGAAGAATCCGTTATTTGCTTTCCAGATATAAAACGATGCTAAATATGAAACACCTTTTCAGTTGAGTGTAAACGCGAATTCGACATTTTTCGTTAAATTGTTTTCTACCGACCTTTCTTCGTAGCGCGTCACATATGACAAAAACTAATACAAATATTTGAGGAGGAAGTTATAGCTAGAATTCAATCAAAAGATTTAATTGGAATTATAGTTTAGCCTTTAAGCGACTATGATTTATGGTTGCTATTATTTACAAATACTAAACATTTTTTTAAAGTAAAACTTTTGGAATTAATTCGGATTCTGACAAATACATTAAAGATACATACATGCTGATATGATCAGTTTACATGTCAAAAATGTATTGGATGTTAATCTTTCGATTCTTAGATTTAATGCATGTAAAAAAAATCGACGAAACTGAAAGACGTCGCAAGTATTTGAATACTAGCTGTAAATGCGGATAGTAAACGCAATTGCATTTAAATTAAATTTAATGCCAGCTTCATCTATTTTTGTGAGGTACACTGCATATCTTCCGTAAGGAAACATTCATTCACGGCAGCCGTTTGACTGTCTAAACTACATCTGAATTTCCACAAATTTCTAAATGTATTAAAACCATTGCAAGTTCTTTTTCCTTTTGGCAATTCAAGCTCCTTGAAAGTTTTCTTACGTATATCAGCTAGTTTTATGAAATATAGGTATATGTACAATATAGAAAATTACTGACAATACAAATTTTAAATTATGATAACCGCATGTCTTTTTCTAAACATAAGATTTATGTATATATATATATATATTAAAATCTATTTAAGAATTATAACAAAGTTAATAAAATTCTAAAATTGGTTTGTCTCGAAATTCATTTGTTATTTATTTAGGTTATCTAAACAAATTTTTAAGCGATAAGCAATAATATTCATTTTTGATAATATATTTATAGTATATATTTGTATTTGTACAACTTGCATCAAAAATAAAATATATTTTTAAAATCATGTTAACATTAAAATTTTTGTTTCATTTTAGAATGTATAAATATTTAACATCCGCCACACACCAAAATGATGAATTTCCTCACTGGGTTATGTATTTTTTAAATAAGTTTTGTTTTTCACTTTGTTATATAAACTCAGTTACTATAACTTTTGTCACATCCGTTTTGAACACATTTTTTAAATTAATAAGTCGAATGTGTAAAAAATTTTCAAGTTCTGGATACATTTTTTATTTCTCAGCTCGTCATCGAAGAAACCAGGTTATAATAAACGATTCCTTCTTACACTAGTCAATGTCGTTTTATTTTTCATGTGAAGAATTTCTCATAAGTGTGTGCGCTTTTGTAATTATTTTTGTGGCGTATGGCGGAGGGTTAGAGAAAATTGACAATTTGTTTACCCCTTTTTACGATTTTTAGAATTTTATTAACTTTTAGGAATTTGAAATAATCTATCAAAAATATAATTAAAATCATGTATACAAAAATATTTTACTTTACAAAGAGATCTTTAAGTGAAGAACATATAGATGGTTCACAAGACTCTGTCTGCTCTTCTTCTTTGTTTCCAGAAGAAAACCATGTAGTCATTTTGCCAGAGGATGTTTTTGACTTTCTAGGTGATACAGATGGCTTCTCACAGGAATTACTAGAACCTTCAGGTTCACTACCTCTTTGAGACGTTAAAAATTCTTCTATTGCACTGCCGAGAACCTGTTGAAAATATTTTATCTGTACGCATTTTCTTTTTAATGTTTTATTATAAATTAAAATTTGGATGATATTGTGTTGTTAGCTGAGTATGAAAGTGGTACGAAGCTGATATAATGAAAGAATTTGAAAGTTATGCAAAAGGGAAAGGATCTGTGGAAAATAAAAAGTATGAGATTTAGAAATAGAATGAGAGAAGTATGGAAGTTAAATGGGAAGGATTTAGAGGAGGTGGATGAGTTTTGTTATTTACACCTAATTAGCTAAAAATTGGTATACTAGTGTATTTTTACAGGTTGAACCATTTTAGTGCGAGTGCAACTCGCACTTGTGCAGTTTTTAAACATTCGTCGGTCATATTAGATCCGCCATTTTGAAATTTGGAAAACTAAGTTCAGATTTGTAATCAATGAACCCAAAAACCTCCGAGTGAGAAACGACAACAAAAAACAAGTTTCAGGTCAAACAAATTGCTTATACCTCCATATTGGTTCCTCTATTTTATACAATATAATGTTATAAAATTATAGAAAAAATGCAATGTATTCGCCATTTTGTGTCCGGTATTTTAAAATTATTGTTTTCAACACCTCTATCTAATATAACTCGTTTATTTTTTACGCTATATTTATAATCTTAAGAGTTATTTTATTTTTCAAAAAATCATCGCAATTAACGCGCTTACCCTAATTTATTTATTTAAAAATTTAGTAAATTTTTTTGCACCATTCGAAATAGCAAACCTTGTCCAATAAAATATGCCTATTCTGAAATATTTCTGGAAATGTTTAAAATGCAAAAAATTTATTATTTTACAATTCACAAAGTTTTAAACAATAATTATTTGGAAATCTGTTACTCGGGGGTTTTCGAGGTCGATACGATTGCGAATCTGAAGTCAGATTTAAAAAATTAAAATTTGTGGATCCAATATGGCGGACAACAAAATTAAAGCTTCATATATTGGCTTCAAATTTGTTACTCTGGGGTTTTTGGGGTCGCTAATAACGAATCTGAAGTCAGATTTAAAAAATTCAATATGGCGAACGACAATATTAAAACTTCATCGTATTAGCTACAAAGACGTTATCGTACGTTAGAATATTTATCAGGGCATGAGCAGTTGTCAAATCCCTTTGAAATATGCCTATTTTTAGGTACCATTTTCTCTGACCTAAATGATTATTTTTCATCAAACTTTTTTTCTGATGATTTTATATACAAGGGACTAAAATCAGATAGTTCGATGTAGCAACATTTTTATTTATGAATTTTCTGTATTATTTTCTCAAGAACAACTTAACGGATATGGTTCTTTTCTTAAAAATACTTGTACATTAATAAAGTGTAATCTGATCGTTAGGTTTTACAAATAAATTATTTTTTTTTAAAGTTATTTGATTATTTAACAGAAAAAACCTAGAAAACGGGTAATTGTTTTTTCAAAATCGCACAGAAAATTCAAAAATAAATATTTGGCTCTATCGAACGATCAGACTCTAGTCCTTTTTTATAAAATGAGCAGAAAAAAAGTGTGATAAAAAATAATTATTTGAAGATAAGAAAATGGTAACTAAAAATAGGCATATTTCAATGGAATTTTACAACTGCTCATGACCCTTTAAAAACGAATCAAAATCATGATCTGTCTCAGAAAAAAAATCATCGGATTTTAAATTTTTAAAATCTGTTTTTAGATGCGTAATCAGCAAGCCCGAAAAACCCCCAGTAACAAATTTCAAGCGAATACGGATGCATTTTTTATTTTGTCGTCCGCCATATTGGAACCACCATTTTGAATTTTTTAAATCTGACATCATATTCGTAGTCAGTAACCCCGAAAACCCCCGAGTAACAGATTTTAAGGTATTTCAATAACTTTTGAAAATTGTATCCATCCTGTGTTAAATTTTGAAAAATTTTTTACTTTCAGGCGCCATTTTGAATAAAAAAATACCAAAAATCTTCAATATTGAATAAATTGTTTATTTCTCTTGATTTGATTTTCTGAATATTTCGAATATTTATTTATTTTGGTTAAATAATGAACTTCCCCATTTACCATTTTCCATCGAAGGATTGTAGCTATAGTCAGCAATGCCGGAAGATTTTTTTTTCTCGGATTTATTCCTTTTTATTTTGTGATTCAATTTTTTTTATTCATTTTGAGATAAATACAAAAATTGCTGGTACTTAGCTTGGTAGCCTTCGCGTATCACCAATTATAGTTAATCTCAAAAATCTGATTAATTGATCGGTAATTAGCCTGGTGGCCTTGTTTATCGATAATAAATTTATATTTAATTTTTTTATCTTTCTCTATTTTTTTCTTTTTCTTTTTGATTCGTGTCCCAAGAAAGTACTGGCGTCCAAGGCATCTTCCGTAGGTAATATTTATTATTTCAGAAAAATATAAAAGGTTACAATATTAAGTCTTTAACCTTAGACAGACAGAGGTGGAAAACTACGCAAATTATTATTTAAAGTATGCTCTGTCTGCATGTTAAAATTGCATGACAAAACACTAACCATGGTTTGGTTCTCTCTAGTTATCTGACAAATAGTTTTGGTAATTGGTAATAAAGTAATTACCAGTGTTAAATATAGACCTTTCGGTGACTTTTAGTTTTATACCACATATATTTTATGGTCTCTAAAAAGAAGGCGCGCAAGTTTTACTTATAAAAAACGAAACAATGCACTTAATAAAAATAGTTTTTCATTAATTTCAAATTTTTGGAGTAGTTTACTATTCTACAGGGAGGGATCATCGTACGTGAGAGTAATATATAATTTTACAATAAATTTAAAATTTAGACTGGATTACTAAGCTGTAGCTAGGGATTTACGTACGTGACATAGTTATATTACCTTATCGAGGATAAAAATTGTGACTTATTACTTTGTACTTTAACAGGATGTAATAGTATTAGACAACCACGGGGAAGGAATTATAACAATGTCAAACTATACTTACACATAAACATTATTTGAATTTCCTGCCATTAATCAGTAATACTTTTCATGAAATTCGTAATTCTGTCATGCTTCACTTGGAGAAAACTTTAAATGACCCGTTGTTGAACTTTCGTTTAATCTTAAAAATTCTTTAGTTTGCTTTTTGTTTGAAAAATATTCCAAAAAATGAAAACTTAAGTTTTCAATTTATCAGAGTGCTGACATTCTTAAAAGGGTCTGGGTGCAGTTGGATTTTGGTAGCACTAGAGATTAAGGTGTCATGCTTAGACATACTGGCAGACAGTTTAAGTAGTGCAGTTGAAAATCTCCCTATACATTAGTGCTACAAGAAGAAAAAAAATTGTTCTATTTTGTAATTTGGTGCTATCGTAAATTAGAAATTACCTGTGCATCGACTTTGGTACCACTGAGTCCATCCCATACAACTTTATGCCTTAAATTCGATTCCTTAGTTGGAGGACTTTTTATAAGGGCTTCTTTCGTAAATTTAGCTACTTTCAATTTATCAAATTTTAAATTAAATAATGTTGAAATACTCTCATCGTTTTTCTGCTTTTTGGACATTGGTTGATGTCGTTTGATAAACCAGTTGGAAGGTGCTGCATTTGTTGACTTCATTGAACCAGAAGATGTCAATTTACATCCAGCCTCATGCAATATTGAGATGTCAAAACTGTTGGAGCGAAAATTTTTAAGATTCCTTCGTTTTTGCTCCGCTGTCTTACCAGACTTATTTTCTTTCGTCATTGGAAATTCTTCACCGCATCTATTAATTTCAGTAGCTGACGAAGTTAAGGAACTAAGTATAGAAATAAGATCTGTGTTGGAGCAAATGATTCCAGTGGTTTGTGAAAACTTAGGTTTAGACGGAGGAGTAAATGGCATTTCTGAAGCTCTCCTTCTATTAGTTGATGCTGCGGGAATTGAGGCCAATGTAAAATCCGAAAATCGACGATGCTGCTGTATATAACGCTGCGTTGAACTGCTACCCTCCAAAGGTTGAACTTCACAAACGCGTTCTTTTGAAGAAGTTCTGTACATTTTGAGACGAACCTATAAAAGCACAATAAGTTATTAATCAAAGTATACACAAAAAATTCTCAGAAGTATGAATATTATTTTATACAGTTAAGCAGAAAATTCATACATCACAGCCTTTAATGAGACTTGGTCAACAATGAAAAGTTCACTATCTTTCTATTGTTCCTATCTATTACCTACAGACAATTTTGATTTACAATTTGAATTCTTATTAGCAAAAAGGAATGACATTAAAACCTACAGACTAATGACTAAATGATTGAATAAAGTAATAAATAAATTGGTTTTTACCTTTCTTGCTTTGATTTCTGCTATGTCATCCATAATGTCTAACTGAAGATTGTGCGTACTTCCGCTATTGCTTGGAGGTCCAGTGATGCCAGCTGTAGATTCTCGTCGACTGGATAGTACTCTAGATGCCCCCATTGATAAAGCTGCAATAGATTCTCGACGATTTCCGAATAATGAATGAGGTACTTTTGAAATCGTAACAACTGAATGTCTTCGTCCACCTGGTTGTGGAGCTGGTGCTTGCGAAAGAGTGGCTAGGAAAGCTGCTTCTCTGGGTGATGGTCCTGATCCTTCTCCTCCTCTTTCACTTAAGCGTCGCACCTATTTTTTTATAAAGAAAATTCTAAATTCATTCATAGATATTAAAACACAAAATAATAGAAGAAATTTTAAACATTTCAACAAGCTACAACCTATAGTAAAGCAGATTCTCTGTTCTGAATATTAGTAATATAAAGACAGTATTTCTACCTTAGTACACATATTTCACACTTTTGGTATGGAAGATGTGCCGGAGGATTTGTTTCATAATTCAATAAACATGTAAATATATCATTTCGCTAGTAATCATTAACAAAAACTTACTTGAGAGGCAGTTATTCCAGAAGTACATTGTGGAGTAGGCAAAGAGTGTTTTCGATTATCACGCCAAGGTGATAAAAGATAAGGATTTAGAGATGGTGAATCTGGGTCTAAGCAGCGAGGAGGTGATTCATTTCTTTGACGCTCCGAATCCTCTTCACCTAGTATGCTTTCTTCTACAACGATAAGAGGTTCTCCTCCAACACTGCTGCTGTTGAAACTTGAGCAGTAAGATTGACGCCTCATTCTAAGTAAAACATATATAAATTTACAAATTAGTTTGTTCATATTTAGTAAATAATTAATAATCGCTTAAATAACTGGTCTGGTGGAAAACACACGAAACTTCCACGGTTAATTCTGTTCATCCCAGAACTGAAATTCAAAGCCCATTATCCTCAAATTTAAATATTCAAAGCCCTTTTACAATACTGATGGATCCAAGACGGACTGTGACACAGACTTTGGTATTTACCGAAAAACTGGAGGCATTAAAGTGGCTGAAACATTTGGGCACTAAGACCGATCTGGAGGGCTTAGGTCTGTGCAATTACGACTTGTGCCTAAATATTCATTGCAAAGTACTGGATGAATTAGATTCATTAAATAAGCTTTTAATGATCTAGGTACCGGGTCACTCGAGGGTTAAAAGAAATTAAAGAGCTGACGTCTTGGCAAAAACGGGATCCGAGACTGTTTTGATAGTGTAGAACCATCGGTGGTAATAATGCCATACTTTGTTAAACGTACCATGAAAAGATGGGGTCCAAAGGAACATGAAACGTATTGGGCAGGAATTAAGGTAGGAAGACAAGCAACCCACATAGCACAATAGTATGAGGTAAGGTTATGTTGAGTACTAATCGTAAGGCACATAAGGTTACACAATATTGCTGCGGTAGACCTGAGGTGAACTAAAAACTTCCGCCATGGAGGTAAGGTTACATGTTAGGGTGTGGTGAGTATATATGATAAGGCCATGGTAACCTTACACGTTAAGGTTAAGGTAACCTTACACGTTAAGGTTGATGTAACCTTACACGTTAAGGTTGAGGTAACGTTACATGTTAAGGTTGAGGTAAGGTTACATGTCAAGGTTGAGGTAAGGTAATTATTAAGTTGTAAGGTTGAGGTAAGGTTAAGGTAAGGTTGTGATAAATTTACCAGTTATGGAAAATATTGAAAAAATAATTAATAAATAAATATTCAATTAAAAAGTTAGTTTGTTGCTCTTCTCTATTTTGGAAACCTGACATGAAGCAGAAAATTTTGAAAACAAATTTGGGGGGACTGGGATTTGAACCCGGGATCGACGCGCATAAACCTATCATTCTAACTAACTGAGCTAAGTAGAGAACTGGCAGAAGGAAAATTAATGTTGCCTTTAAGGTGAACCAAGAAGATGATTAACTCCTTAAAGGCAATATTAATTTTCCTTCTTCCAGTTCTCTACTTAGCTCAGTTAGTTAGAATGATAGGTTTATGCGCGTCGATCCCGGGTTCAAATCCCAGTCCCCCCAAATTTGTTTTCAAAATTTTCTGCTTCATGTCAGGTTTCCAAAATAGAGAAGAGCAACAAACTAACTTTTTAATTGAATATTTATTTATTAATTATTTTTTCAATATTTTCCATAACTGGTAAATTTATCACAACCTTACCTTAACCTTACCTCAACCTTACAACTTAATAATTACCTTACCTCAACCTTGACATGTAACCTTACCTCAACCTTAACATGTAACGTTACCTCAACCTTAACGTGTAAGGTTACATCAACCTTAACGTGTAAGGTTACCTTAACCTTAACGTGTAAGGTTACCATGGCCTTATCATATATACTCACCACACCCTAACATGTAACCTTACCTCCATGGCGGAAGTTTTTAGTTCACCTCAGGTCTACCGCAGCAATATTGTGTAACCTTATGTGCCTTACGATTAGTACTCAACATAACCTTACCTCATACTATTGTGCTATGTGGGAAAGTATTTGTTGGGGTCTGATTGCCCAGCGTTGACCAGGATCAGACTCCAGATGGGGCCAAACATTTATTGACCATGAGCAAGTTATCAACTTATCGATAGAAGAGATACTGGACTTCCGGAGAACAACATGTCTCTAAATAAGTTGAATTTAAACGATCGAACTAGAGATGGGTTTAAAGGGTATTGACATAAATGCCTACTCTCTGTATGGGTACTTCGGTTCAAGCTCGATTAATTTGACTAAATTATATTAGATGCAACAAAAATTAAATGGGTTATTCGTTCACTGGTTTTTTAAAGTTTTGTAAAAATCCTTGTGTTATGATTGACTGTGTTTCGAATTTGGATTAAGCGACGCAAACGAATTTATAGGAAGCAAAGTGAAAATATTTTCTATAGCTGTTTTATCTTCCATTTGCATTCCCTATATTGCTTATCTTGCTCAGAATCCTATATATTCGTAACTACTGATCAGGTGTCTATACATTGATGATTTCCTATTTAACTTAAAATTATGACATTTACTCAAGTTAAAAAAATTTTTAAAGATAGTTCAATATTGAGCTACATGCTTCACTACTTTTATATGTGAATATAAATGTATTGCATAACATATATTTCATTTGAATTCATCACACATAAATGGTCAAGGTTGTAAAAGCCCACTGCACTTCGTTGCACTTGATTGAACTCCTGAAACAAAATGTTTTTCACATCGTTGCCTCTGCTTATCCGTTGAAGGTGATAAAGAGACAAAGATAAGTTTTAGTGTCATTCTATAAATTTGGTCACATGTACTCAAAGAGAAAATACTAGATCAAGATGAAAATTAATCCCTTTTGCTTCCTCATAAAGGAAGCCTTATAGTGATGTTGATTTCCGAATTTTTTAGAACCAATTATTTTTACAAATTTTCAAGTGTAGTATATATAATTCGTCGAGAGGAACAAATGTCCGGATGTATGTGTGTATGTATGTGTGTGTGTGTGTATGTCACCGATTCTTGTGGACAAATTTTCTCTTACACGTCTTGACGGATTTTGATAAAATTTTGTAGGTGTATTACGGTCACGAATACCAAAAATCAGACAAAAGGATTTTCAAAAATATCTAAAAAAAAAATTTTTTTCAACAATTTTTTAATTTTTGAAAAAATTAATTTTTGGATTTTTTGAAATAACTTTTTTCTATATTAAAATTTTTATTAATTCTTGTCAAAATTGCATTCCTGACATAAAAACGAATCGATTCATGTATATAAAGTATATATTTTATCAAAATTTATAGAATTAATAAATGTTTTAAATTTTCACAAAAAATTGAAATTTTGTATTTTTTGACATTTTATCTTAACACTTTAAAATAATTATTCTAAAATAAAAAATTAAACAATTGGTATATATTATATTGAGGAAGCTTAATGATCATGAAATGAACAACTTGTTTAATAGATTGTAATCAAATATTCTATAGCGCTGAACAACAGCACAAAATTTAAGCAACCATTAATAATTTTAGTGTGTTTTTATTCTTATTAAAGTCCATAATAATAAACAAAACAGCTCATAATAAGAAATAATAAACAAATAAATTTTATGGATTTTTTCCTAAATAAAAATAAAAACACACTAAAATTTTTTACAAATGTTAGGATCCTGTGGTGACCAGTACATTTTGAAAGTTTTGCAACTCGCATATTTATACACTCGAAGAACTATATCTATAGATTTATCATGAATATTATACTTTGAACAATAATTATCCACAACTAGCATATCTACTGAGATGATGGATGAAATATTACAACAAAGACAAAGAAATAATTCCTCTAATGAAGGTGTATTAAACATCAACGAGAGAATCAAGTTTATTGAATCTCATCATGAATGAAAATAAAGAATTTTATATAGACAGACATTGATAGGTATAAAAAGGAAATCGGATCGATTCTTTTATCAGTATTGTGAGTTAATCAATTTATTATAACGTTTTTTAAAAAAACTTCCTCACAAGCAAGTAAGCACATCCCTGAGTGTTGTTTTACGTGGGTCAGGTCTGGAGTTTAAAACATTTGAATTATTTGGAAAAAATCCAACAATCTTTTTTTAAGAAATTTATATATTTGTCTACGTGCTCGTCAAGGTTCGCAGTCAGATTAGAAAACTGGCTCGTTACATGCGTCGTACTCAGTCCTTAAAAAGATAATGTCCTGGATAACTAAAGTATTGAATGTGGAAATTTTTCGGTTCCCCAGACGTTGCCTAATAAGACTAAAAATTCCTTAATGAATAGATTTTGTGAAAAGGCTTAATTTCTTTGCTAAATAACGAATTGAACAGTTTAAAACGGATTTAAGGAGGCTGATTTTTGACGTTGACAGTGATATAAATAACAACGAGAATTAATACATCAGATTAAGGTTTTAAATCAGTTTTCTATTTGTTAATTTAGTTTTATTTAGGTGTTATTAGAGGTGTACATTTAATCGAGTCGAACCGAACATTAATCGACTCGACAACAGAAAATTCGATTCGAACTAGTCAATTCGAAAATCGGCGTTTCGATTGTAGAACTCTACTTGGTTTTTGAATCAAGTCGGTCAATTCGAAAATCGAAGTTAAACTTTCGAATTACTATGTAACGTGCTATGTTGTGGATGCAGTATATGTTGTGCAATTCGAATCGAAAGTAGACTGAATCGAGTTGTGCAATTCGAAACTTCGGATTTCGAATTTTCTCTCGATTCGAATTTTGCACACCTCTAGTTAGTATTTTTATTGTTAAGTACATTGTACAAAAGGGATTTGATCCCGTTAATCATGAAAATAAATAAAATAAATAAATCTTAGGGAATTGGTTGGCCTGTAGGTATATCTGCGAGAAATGTTTCCCTGCTATTTGTACTATGATTAATTTAATTGATGGGTAGATCGTAATTATATAGACTGAAGATCACGTAACGATTAAAAAATTTATATATCATTCTGCGCATTTTGTTGCCGTTATAACGCGTATTACTAATAATTAAATGTTTAATTTACAATTTTTATTTGTTTCCTTGTTCCCTCATATCAATAGGAATTCTACTTCAAAGGAAATATTTGTGCTGCGATTAAACAATCTGTGGCTTGGTAAGATCGTTCTTAAATTTAAAAATTTTTAAATCTCGCGACGTTCGTCCAACATCATTAGAACTCGGTTGTACTCAGGAGAGGTTTTCTGCATTTTCCCTCTCCTCGGGTGAGAAAACTTATTACCTAGGTGGACCGGGCAAATGCAAGTACTCCTAATTTCAAATCATTTTGAAGATGCAATATTTAATAAGTTTAGATTTTAAGGTACTATTTGTAAAAAAATGTCTTCTATGTGGACACTTGAAGAAGCTAATATGACGTATTAAGCAATAAACGAGTGTTTAAATAAGTATAGAATTCACTAAATGGTTAAAATGGTGCTGTATTATGATGATCTACCATCTAGCGTTAAATTTGACTAAGAATTTTATTAAAGATTGAATGCAAAAAATGAAATAATTTTAAATAGAAAACCATTATTGAATTCGTTTAAAACAATAAACTTTTTAAATTCGTTTCACTTTATTCAACAAAATAATTAACATTTTGTCTTATCTTTACAGAAAGTATGTCATTTTGGACATTTTATGCGGGGGTAAAGTAAGTTATTCATTCTCTGAAGGAAGGGTAAGAGGCAACAAAGTACTTTTCCATCCGCTGGGCAGGTTAATGTAAATTACAGATGTTTCATTTCATAAAACCTTTTGCGTCATCTAATTATAAAACTAAAAGTTAACAGTTAATTTAAAAAGGTCAAATTGATACAAAAATTTGAACTAGTTTGATCTTTAAAAATAACTTTACAAATTTAAAACTATCACAGTCTCATAAGTATTTCTTAAAAATTATTGAGGATTAATTTAATTATTAAGTAGATGTCGTTCCCGTTTTCAACAGGTTGTTATCTTCCATATATAGATAAATTAAAAATTTCATCCATGTATTAAATATAATTCGTTCTTCTATTCTTTGCAAATGTTTCCTCATTTACAAAAAATCACGCGTCTTATTTTATATTTTAATGTTTGTCCGCAAGATATCAAGATTTCGATTCTATCACTAACAAGATGCGTTGCGAAGTATATAAGAACAGACAATTTTTGAGACAGAAATATTACCAAATTTTTCGTGCTTTTCCCCAGTTTTGAGCGAATTCAACGAATTTAAAAAGATTCGTCCGCCATTTTGAATTTTTGAAAACTAAGTTCAGATTCGTAATTATCGACTCCAAACATCCCCGAGTAAGAAATATTAATCAAATCCGATAAATTTTTAAAAAATATTCCGCCATATTAGATATACCATTTTGAATTTTCGAAAACAAGGTTTCTTTTACAAAAAATGGCTGTAACTTCTTGGTTTTTGATTTTTTTTAAATTTTGAGTGCAGATTTTGAAAGAGCGATGTCCAAGACGTAAGGAATAGTTCTCATGAATTTGTTTAAATCCCTGGTCGACGAGAAAATTATCATAAAAAATTGTCTCTAAAATGTGTCCGTCGCGTTCTTAAAGGGTTCAGTGATAGCAGTATAAAATATCGCCGACAGAGAGATGGACCGGAGAATTTTTATTTATGGCATTTTTAAAATCTCTACTATACTTGAAGCGATAAATTATGCAAGCAAAAAATTAATTTTAAGCAATGTACGAAGACAGAAATCTGATTTTATTAATATAGACATAGATTATAAAACAATATTTTTGAAAGATATATTTTCATTAGCATAAGCAGAAAAATATTTTGACTCAAAATTTTCACATAAATATTTAAATATAGTTTCAACTAACATACATTGTAGCATGCTGCTAACAACGTAGCACAATTGCGCTGTGTCACATTGCGCTGACGATATGCGCACTATTTAACATTTAATTTCTCAAAAATAGAAAATGATTACTAAAAAAATAATTATTCTGTAAAAAATTATTTTATTATCGTTTTAGATAGTTTTCAGAATGAATAGTATTTTAATGTAATAAAATCAAATTTATATTTTGCTTTCAAAATTTGGGCCAGAATAAAAAAAATTTCAAAATGGACTTTCTCAATTGCCAGCTTGTGAAAAAAATTTATAGGAATTAAGAGTTAAAAATATTTTCTATTGTTTTCAGGCACAATAGACAAGCGAAAATAGAACGTTTACAAAAATTATTGTGAGAATTTTTTTTTTGAAGTTCAAAACATTAGATTGGTTATTTTTTTTAAAAAAGAATGAATAAAAACATTTAGGAATGACGTTTTTTTGTCTAATCATTTGAGATTAAAATCCATAATTCACGTATGCATAACAACTTTTGTTCAGTTGAATTTATACTTTTAAATATTATTAATTATTATTAATTTTTATTAATTTAAACTTTTCGACAAGAAAAACTAATATTTTATTTTAATTAAAAAAATGTGCAGAAATTCGTAATGCTTCAAGAAATATATAACTCGTGTGACGTCAAAAGCTGAACAGAGCAGAAGTTTTATAAAATGTTCTGATGATAACAAAAGACGAACGTATCAATAGAACTAAAGCTAACAATGTCACTAAGAAACAATGATCATTCTCATCGGAAAGAAGAAGAGGACATTTGTTTTACTTAACATTTAACTTTTCTTAAAAGTCATTCTTAAATAATAATTACGGATTTTAGTTTTAGGAACACAAAAAACTAGTACTAAGTTAAGATCGCTATTATTAGTTTATAATAAATGAAGGGAATAGTTTACAATCTTTTTGAGTCAATTTGAATAAATTTTTCTCGAGGGAGTTTAATTTTTTTCATGACCTCAAATTGTACTGTTTCTGACTGATAAAAATAAAAATTATAAATTTTAAATAAAATATTTTTAAACGTTTGTGCAACCGATCTATAAAAAACAAAAGTTTTATAAAAATATAGGTATTTTGAAAATTTTTGCAAACTCATAAGATATAAGAATTCACTTAAATACTTATCCTAAAAATAATTACAACACTTTTTGAAAGAAATATTAAAGTTTGATGTTTGAGTAATTATCTGCTTTTTGCCATTGACGAGTCAAAGTGCATATTATTAAATTTTTAGTAAACGAAAGTTATTAAATTATTTACGTTATTATTAACTTTTTGAATAATTTTGTAAAAACTTTTTAATTATATTAATAAATAATTAAATAACAAATTTTTCTATATTCTTAAGCAATAAGTAAATATTATTAACTGTAATATTTATAAACGATAAAGGAAATCAATAACTTATTTTTTCAAACTACTTGTTGCTTCTATATAGGATAGGAGATGACAAAAAACGTAGAACATTCTACACTTTAATACATTCTGGAATAATAATTTTATAAGAAATTGTAGGAAATTGCTGTTCTTAAATTTATGGAGATTCAGAAGACGCGTAAAATATTTTTAAAAAATTGTAAATTCAAATTAATTACTAAAACAAAATAAATTAAAAAAGTATTTTATTTTAAAGTATTTATTTTTAAAGGAGATATAAATAAAGAAATAATTAAATATTTAATAGTGAGTGCTTTTGGTTAAAATTAAATCAATAGTACCCTCTTTTTAAATATAGGAAGTACCGAAATCAAATTGTGTAAATTACAAATTGACCTTGTAAACAGATATTAGAGGAACAAATTGAAATTAAATGGTAAGCTTTTGAAAAGGAAATAAAATGGAAATCAAGAAAACATGCAGAGTTTTTATTTATTATTGTCACAATTGTACTTGACAGTTAATATGAACTCTTCCTCTAGTAATACTTGGTGATAAACATAATCCTGTTATCACATGAATGTTGCACTCAAATAATGGGGATATGCTCAATTGAGATTATTGTAATTTGAAAAAAGAGTAGGTAACACTTGATGAACAACTTGAAGTGTTGTATAAAATGAACACCGATACATAGAGGTATACGAGGAGAGGCACAAAAGATAAATATTTAAAAAATGAAATCTACCTTGCGCATAGAAGAAAAATACACGGGACTTTCGCGTTTATGGCAAGGCACACGACTCTTGTTGAATGTCGGTAGTCGGATTCAAACTGGGTAGCTTTCTATCCCAACACTTCCCTTCACTCTGATTGACCCACCCCCTCCATTCAACCCTACATCACTGCTTCACAAACCATCCCTTTCCTTTGGTCCGATATTTGAGGATTTATTTTTATCTACTCAATGCTTGAAAATCTATTGTTTCATAAATTTCGCTGTACCAAACCATAGTAAAGATATATTTCAAATAAATTATTATTGTCTGCTACAATAATCAGAACAATTTTTTAAAACTCATTAGACTCTATTATTACATAGTAACTATAATTTAATATCAAAATAGTTCAAGAATTTTATAAAATAAGGCAAATAATTCATAAAAAGCATAGAAAACCATATATTTCATAGAAAAAAGTGCTGCAAAGTTAAAGTAGAAAATTTCGTATTCATTTCATTAAAACTTGGCTTCCTCGTGGATATCTTCTTTATATGAATATTAAAAGTAGAATTATTACCACACGTTAAAAATCGCAATTTTATTTAAAGTCTTAAAGTATATCAGTAAACTCTTAATTTTAGATATTATAAAGCTTAAAAATAGATCAATCGATACGTTTTTTAAGCGCGACTGGAGAATGAATACACAAAATTAAAAGTTTAAAATTTCAGACTAAAATCTATTAAAAATAGGGTTGCCACAGGTCAGGGAATTCAGGGGAAATTAAGGGAAAGTAGAATTGGTCAGGGGAAAGTCAGGGGTTTTTTTTATTAAAAGTACTGGAAAAAATTAAATTTTCAAAAATCGTAAGAAAATTCTGAATTTTTGTGACTTTTCTATTTGACTCATAAACTATGAAATTACCACGAATTCTTATACAAAACCTTCAATTTTTTTTTTTTATTTCTGACAATAATTTTTTTTAAATAACTTCATTCTTGAAGAACTAATAATATTATATTTAAATATTTCAACAATAATTGAGAAGTTTAAAAGAATTGCATTTACAATTTTTATAAATAGGTATTTAATTGAATTTTTTGGAAATTGTTTGAAGTCGGTCATTTTAGATCCGACATTTTGAATTTTTCAAATCTGATTTCAGATTCGTAATCAGCGACCCCGAAAACCCCTGAGTAACAAGTTTCAAGCAAATCCAAACAGTTTTTAAGTTTTATCCGCCATATTGGATCCGCCATTTTGAATTTTGAAAAATCTGCTTTCAATTTCGTGATCAGCGACCCCAAAAACCCTCGAGTAACAAGTTTCATGTGATTTAGTTTAATTACTCCTTAGAATCTATATTTAGGTTTTTCGGTAGTCTAAAGGTTCAACTTTTAATTCTTATTAATTTCTATATGTAATTGAATTTTCAATTTAGAAAATTATTATTTAACAGAATCTCTATAAAGTGCTATCTAATGAACGTTAATAAATGCACTCAGGACAAAAGTTTATTTCACTTAACCAACCTGTTGAATTAGCTCATTTTATTTGTTACGGTAAGGAAGTTTTGTTGGTTCAAATGAAAATTCGGTTCATTTAAATAAATTAATAAACGCATAAAATTTAATTGGTTAATTTTTGAAAATTCTAAATATGCCAAATTTTATATAATAGGAACCTACATTGAAATACTAATTTTGGAAAATTCAAAAATTTCCGACTTGGATTTCTCTACTTGTGTTTAGTTCAACTTTTCTTTAACATTATAACCATTCTATGAGAAATATCTTAAATTTCTTTAATTACAAGTAAAAACATTCCTTTGTCTAAAAAAAATTAATATTACAAAACTAAAGAATTGAAAAAATTCATGAAGATTGATATTATTATAAAAATTAATTGTATATAAATTTTAAGTTAAAGAATTTTTATCTGACATACATTGTAGAGCAAAAAAAGTTTTAAGACCAGACTATGAGAGTATTGAAGACTTAACTATAAACAGCAGATTGATTACAGATAAAATATTACGAATATTTAATGTAATATTACGTGCTGTTTGGGTACTTGAAATTCTCTATTTAGCAAACAAAGAATAAAAAAATCCAAAATTTTTAAAACTTTGTAATAAAAAGAGAATTTTTTAAAATTATCTTCAATGGCTGAATAATCACAGAGTCATTCAAAAACATAAAGAAACGGAATTATTATTAATAATTGCGTAGTCACTTTAATAAAAAATGTTAAGTATAAGGACCGAGCATACCGCATACAAGCTCGGTTGTTGATATGAAGAATTTAGAAAATTCATATGATCCTCTGCAGTAATGAAGAAAGAATAAGGTGGCATACAAACGACGTTTATAGCGCTGTTAATAAAGAAATACCATTTTAAAGGGTGTAGGGCAAGTTAGAGTAAGTTCAGCTCCCCTAGTATAGTTATCTGACACATTATCTTCTTCATCTTCTTCTTCTTAAAATTAAAAGAAAATGGTAATACCGTAAGTGAGGCTAAATTCGCTCAATTTTTCAATTCTTTTTTAAATAACTTCGGGAAACGATGAAAATAAACATTGGCACTGAAAATATATAATCTTTAACCCTTTATCTTTCCTATTACTGCATAAAGAAATTGAAATATGTTGCAGAAAATTATTTATAAGCCGTTTTTTTGTGAGCGAATTTACCTTTAAATGATGGGTAAATTCGCTCACCATTATTATTCTGGCAAAATATATTATAATCTGCAAAAATGAAACTAAATATTCTTTAGAATCAATAAAGAAAAAAATTAAGAACAATATTCAAAGTTATTGGAATAAATATTTAATATTGTTTTATCAATAAGTAATTAGATTCAATCATTCAATCAAACGTACTCATAACCATAAAAAAACAAGGTTAAGTTTGACAGTTTAGTGCTTAAACCGTTTTAAATCGTTTAATTTTCAGTTATAAGAGTACTATTATTTCAAAAAATCGAATTATAAATTAAAGTAATTAACATACTTAAAATATCCAGGCCCAAACATCTTTTTTGTAGACTTATTTCCTGAGCGAATTTACACAACAAATTTGAATTTTTTTTTTTTTAATTGATTTTTTGCAGAATCTGTTTATTGCTTTAATTTTTGTGCTTTATGAATATCATGTTGGAGATACAGGAAATGTAATGTTCAGAAGTATTCAACTTAAAAATTTTGAAGTAAAGCTTTATTTCCTACTTTTTCATACTACTTGTTCAATATGAAAATTATTCACTTGTGTTTTAAATATAATTTCTACTGAAAGTTACCAATGAATTTGCTGCAAATAAATTTTAAATTAAAGTTTACCATTTATATTAACCAAAACAATTGTAAATCTTAAATATTTCTGTCTAAAAAGTATGTTAATCGAATTTTAAAAAATAGACATCGGTTGAGCGAATTTACCCTACATGAGCGAATTTAGCCTCACTTACGGTATATTGTGGTCTATTTTTTACAAAGTATAATTTATTTTCAAAAGTATAAGTTTTTTTTTAAAATAACGGATTCCCTATTAAACTAAATGCATTTTTGTATTCACAAAATGTAAATTTATGTCTTTAAAGTTCCAGGCACTACGTTTGTTATCTGAGTAGATATCCCTGGGAGCTTTTTTGTAATAATTATTAATTGTACAAAAATATGAAAAAAAAATTGGATCCAGGGTGGTCACAAGTTTCAGTTTATGAATTTCCCTGACAATTTACTGACATTAAAATTATTTTCCCTGACAAGTTTTTTTACAGGAAAATATGAAAGTTTACGGAAAATGTATAAAAATTTATGAAATTTAATCTAAAAATTAAAATTATAACCCTTTTTGAATTCAGTTATTTTCTACAATTTTCAACTAAACTTCTCTTGAATTTCTTTCAAGAATTTTTGTATAATTTAAAAAAAATAATTAATTTTTTTAAGAATTTTAATTAAAAATTTTAAACATGATTTTTTTCTCCAAAATGTTAAAAGTAATTTTAAAATGTTATTATTTTTTTGTACCTATATTTGAATTTTCGGAAATATGTAATTGAAAATACTGAGAAAATATTGAATTTTAAAAAATTAGAAGATAATTTTTCATTACTTTTCATTTTTAAATTTACCATTTAAAGATTTCTTATTAACATTTTAAGATAATTCAATTTTTTTCTAAATTTGTAATTAAAATTTGATTTTTAAAAATTGTAACAAAATGTTTGAAAAATTAATTATTTTCAATTAAATTTTACAAAGCGACATAAGTTTGATCAGGTTAGATTAGTTTGATAGATAAAGTTAAATTTAGTATCAAAATTTTTATATTGGTAAAAAAAGGTGAATAGAGATTGTATACTCACATTGGAACATTTTCCAGTGTATCACTCGGAATTGAATGAAACTTGGCACATTTAAAGGGCATCATAAAAGATGCTTATTGCCCTTTAAACTTGCTATCACAATTCACAGGAAATAAAATGTCGGACACAATATGGCGGTAAAATTTGCTTGAAAATTGTTACTCGGTGGTTTTTGAGGTCGTTGATTACGATCTGAGTTAGTTTTTCAAAATTCAAAATGGCGGATCCAATATGGCGGAACAAATTTGAAAATTTAATCAAAATTGCTTGGAAATTTTTACTCGGGGTTTTCTGGGGTCGTTGATTACGAATCCAATGTTTTAAATATTTACCGCCATATTGGGTCCGCCATTTTGTTTTCTGTGAATTATGGCAACAAGTTTAAAAGGCAATAAGCATCTTTTAACCTTCAAATGTGCCAAGTTTCATTCAATTCCAAGTGATACAACGGAAAATGATCCCTTGTAAAGAAAATAAATATTAAAGTTTCGATTTCAGTGATTAGCGGGTTTAAATTAGGGAAGATTTTCAAAAAAAGATAAAATAACTTTTAATAGCACAATACAAGAAAAGTTATCTAAAAGGTATAGCCAACTGTACAAAAAGTAGTAAATATAGTGGCTTTTAGCTCCTAGACTTACCCTACCTGGTTAGAACATATTATTTTGACGTTGATATATTGCCAAAAAAGCAGTACTGTATTCCGAACATAAATCCTGCATCAGTCCAATGTCGGTTTAAAGTCCGGGGACTCGTACTGGATTTTCAACATAAATCAAGTATCGATTTAGTACCGAATTTACAATGTTCATCCGGCATTGATTCGACGTCGATCCGGTTTAATTCCAGTGTCGATCGGACACTGCTTTTCGGTGTACGGCTGACGAACATGAAAAATTTTATAACCCTTCTTTC